AATAGTTTATAATGAGTAGAAAGTACTATCTTTTATTTATTGTCTTTTTATATTCGAATTTACTAGTAAATATATTATATATCTAACTTAATAAAGAACCTTCCTACTAAAGCTCTATCTAGAATTTCTAAAACTAGAGATAAAAGCTAGTAACCCTTTCCTATAATCTTATTAAGTCTCTAGTAGTCTATATATAAGTATAGAGCCCTAGTATTCTTAAGGATACAAAGAACTAGACTAGCTATATATAGCTTTTAGAGAATCTTAATCTCCTTTTTACTAGATTTCCCTTTAGATACTTATATAAGAATGGATATATTTTAGATTTCATTATAATAATTAGTAATAGATAATAATACTTGAGACATACTAAACAACCTTTATATAATAAGAATCTAAAGGAGATTTAGAGTAAATTAATTCTAATCTACTATATTTTATAGTATTTAATGAAATAAATATCTATAATATTAATTTCTATATATATATCTAAATTAGTAAGGAAGGAGATATATATAAGTATATAATATATTTAATATATAAAGTTTAATAAGTCTAATCCTCTAGAAGAAATATATTTATAATATTAGAGTTTATTATAAATATCTACTATCTCCTTTATAACTAGTTAGTCTAGAAGCTATAGTATTCTTATCATTAGTACCCTAATACTTAGTTTAGTAAGTTTATATTTAATCTATATATATAGCTAAATATTTATTACTATTATAAATATAATATTATAGGATACTTCCTACCTCGAAATTTGAGGAAGTAGTAGTATTTCGATATTTATTTATATCGTATTTAGATATAGGAGTATAATAAGAAACATCGTTATAAAAACAAGTATTTCCTCACCTATATAATAAGAAATAATATACTTTACTATTATATTAATATTAGGATAATAATAAATAAATAAAGTATAGGTAATAATCCACTAGTACTTTTATTTGTTAAATCTGTTATACCTAAGTTACCAATTAAACTATCCCTTTATAATTTTCGGGTATATAGAAGATATATTGGTTAATTAAGGCTAAAACCTTTATATAAAATAAAAGAGTATTGCTATTATTATATTATAAAGCAAAAAGGTTATCTAGGAACCTTAAATAATAATAGAAGTTTGTAAATAATTAGTGTTCTTATTACTAAGTATTATTATAGTATTTTACAATTATAGAAGTTTACTTGGCCTAATCTTATATGTATATTTATATCTAGGTTTTAAAGAGATTCTATATTATCCTAGTAGTATATTACTTCCCTAGGGAAAGGCTTCTATTATAGCTATACTAATAGCTCTAATGTTAGTTATCTATTTAATAGAGTATAAAAAAGATCTAGTTGAATTTGGTAGTAAATTGTTTAGGATCTCTAGTAAATCTTTATTATGGATTAAAGGAAAGAATTTAATAAAGTTGAAAATAGTATATTAAAGTACTTCTTATAATTGTTGAGTTTAGAAGATAACTTCTTTGTTAACTTTTTACTATTACTTTAGCTAAGGATTAGTGGTATCTCCTCTAGTAAGGTAAGAAAAAGCATTAAAACTAATTAGAGGCTCCTAACTAGGAATTAAAGTCTTTAAAAAACAACTAAAAGAAATACTTAGATATATATAGAGGCTATATAACTAGGGCAATTTACTAGCAAAGATAACCTCTATTCCTAGCTAAGACCTCTCTTTCTAATTATATATTAGATCTAGAAGATTACTAGAACTAATCCCTAACATCAAGCTTATCTATACTTAAAAACCTCCTTACTAAGCCTTATAATATAATATAGTCCTTTAACTATATTTTCTCCTTTCATTTGCTACAGATAACCTAGGGCTTTATCCGATAATAAATAAGCTCCTAAATCTCTATATAGAGTCTAGCTCTATAAGGTTCTCTAAGAGTTATAAAGAGCTAGCTTATATTTAGATAGTATATAGTTACTAATTCTAGAAGTCTCTGAGAGCTCTATAGTTGGTAATTATAAGTATAGTTTACTATAAGTGTAACGAACCTGTCTCTGGACCCGTCCTGTTAGGGTTTAGTATCGGTTGAAGGTATCCTCTCAAGGGTACTTAGGTTCGGTGCAGCCAAAGGGTGCACAACAAAGACTTGTCTCAACAGTAGGCTCTCGAGCTTGTAGCGAACTGTAGTTGTAATTGCTAACTGGAGAACTCCCAGAGCTCTCCAGAACGAGTGACTATATACTATCTAGTATCACCGTCCTCATAGTGATAATCCTCCGTTGTTACTGACAACTGGTGATAATCTTCCATTATCACTAACAGCTGGTGATAATCTTCCATTATCACTAACAGCCGGTAATAACCGTTCCTATTGGTTCTTTTAGCGATTGGCTGTCGGCGTTCTGCGCCTTCAGCTGTGGCCGCCCCGGGCTGCCCCTTAGGTCGTTCCATGATAATAAGCTTAGTAACTACTATTAATATATCTTAATTATATAATATTCGGCTATATTAAATCTAGTATCTTTACTAATAACTTATATACTTTAACCCCTTTAGAGCTTTATATATAAGAGGTTTATTATATATTATTATATATAAAAACATTAGTATCTAATTAATAACTAGTGGTTTCTAAGCTCTGTAAAGCTAAATAAAGTGTATTTATTAATATAATAATTATATTAATTACTTAGGTGCTTATAAATATCTAAAAAATCATATAGTAGTATATTCTATATACTAAAACCTAGAGAGGTATAACTCCTTTCTTTTTATTATCTTTTTAATTCTTTTATTTTTTCCTTTCTTTTTCTTTTCTTTTCTTTCCTTTTTCCCTTATCCTCTTCCTTTCTTTCCTTACCCTTTTCTTCCTTATTTTCTTTCTTCTTTCTGTTTTTCATTATTCTTTCACTTATTCATCGTTTTCTTTTTGTAAAGCACTTCCAATGTTAACTACACCCACTATAGTTCTACTAGCTTCAGAGATTTATCTGTTCACAGCTCTAAGCTACTAGGCTATTTTATTTCATATAACCTTAATATAATACAACCCGCATAACTACACCTAAACTAGGCATAGTTAGCTCTCGGAATCGGCTGGGTAAAGCCCACCTACAAACCGCTAAGTTCCAGGTTGCTCTATGTTCAGGCTGGACTTACAACAACCTACGAGTCTATCCAGGTTACTCAAATCGACGCATAGTCCTTCTAGGTCCAACTAGTCCGGGTACCCACAGGTACTCCCCGGGCCCACACCTAGTTTTAACCCCTTTACAATGTTGAAGCGAAGAATGCTATCCTTATCCGCAATATCCACATTGGCAGCTGCCTCGGCGGGCAGGTCCTCGACTTTGGCCGCGCGTGGACCATGTATCAACCATATTAGGGCGTGCAGAGAGTGATCGAGTGTTATAGGTATGTTTGACTAGACTTGCCGATACATCCAAAAAGTTCCAGGGGAGTTTCTACATGTGTACGTCAGTGGGAGAAGAGCGTACCTTGGCTCTACGGCTGGAAGAAAACCGGTGATTCGGCCGTAGAAGCCTATATGAACCATGAGCTCTATGGGGTATTCCTGAATAGCTCGTGGCAGAACGGGCATGCACAGTGAGGTAACACCGTCCTAGCACCGCGTAACTTCACAGGTAAGTCTATGGTAGCATCAGGGCAATTCTTGCTCTATGTAACAGTCTATACGGCCCACGTTATGTTACATCTAGCTCAACACTGGTAATAAAGAAGACAATCCACGGGCGTCTGTGATGCTTGTACCTCGTAGCAACCGCTTGATTAGTATGGCTGAAATAGGTATGCCGGTAGGAGTAACCTTTCCGCCTATCAACCTGTATATCTGCCACCTGTCTTCTCTGCTCCAAGTCCTGTCTTCTCTTCCTCGGTCGGGACGTAACCAAGTAGCAGTGTTTGAGAATGGCCCATTGAGCTTTCATATCGCTTTCCACTGACCGCCTGCCTGGATGACACAACGGCACGCGGCAGGGACCGTGAACGAATTTGAGTCTTTTGATACATAGGAAATCAGCAGCGGGACGCTGATTCGGTTTCATCTTGACCCCGTCGTTTTTTACCGAGTCTCGTTCTGTGAGATCCATGCCCCTCCCCGCCTACAAACAAGTGAGTGTCGAGGAACAGCCATAGGGGAAAAAACAAAAGAATACAAGCCTTGCCGTACTAGGCCCCCCGATTGACGTTGGGAGCATCATACGGAGGGGCAAGGTAAAGAACGTAGCTATAGTGGTATTGTCTCGGCCCTACATTTGAAGGAATATATAGCTGGCCAAGTCTATACATAGTACGGGAGAAAACGGCGAGGGTTGCATGCTATATTAGCCGCTTAAGCACCAACGCTGGTGTACCTGAGCGACCATTTAGTTTAGCCGTTATCTTCGGACAACCTTCGGACATGAACGACGGTCCCTGCTTTGGCGCGATGGGAGACGTGGGCCCTTCCAGCAGCCTTTACAGGGACAACAGTCTTCGTGAATTGGCGGAATTATCGATCCGGTCTACCATCTTAGGTGCCAAGTCCATTGTCACGTCGTCTATTGCATCATAGGCGTGGAACGACACCCTATATCAAAGCGGACGGACATAAAAAACTCCTTCCAACCACACGTCCTCTTCCAGAGTGAGACAGGGTGTCTTCACCCCGCATTCCTAGTGCCTGGCAGCCTCTCCCTGTTGGCATGGAAAATTCCCGAGGTTGCAGAAAACGTGGAGAGCCCCTGTTCGATGCTGCCGTCGAGTACGACAACACGAAAGTGCCAAGCCACGGAAAAATTGACGGAGAATATTCAGGCCACACGTAGATACTAGCGGTCATGATTCTGGGTTGGGCATACTCTCGGTGGTGATGAAGGCAATATAAACAAGTACCATATGCGGTCGGAGGGCAACGCGTCCCGGAGGGCGCCCTGGATATATTTATACATCAACGGTGACCTGGTGTTGTTGACTGTCTTCGTGCCTCAGATCGACATGCTTCGTTCCTGGTAATAGGCTCGTCACAATGCGTCCACACCTTCTGGTAGCCCCCCTCGGTCTCGCGCCGGGGATGGCGACATCGACTGTCGAGCCCCGTCAAGCCACGGGCATCACAGTTGACCTCGGGAAGACATATCAAACCATGGACGGCTTCGGCACCTCGGAAGCCTTCCAGCGCGCCGTGACGATGAAGCGACTCTCCGAGACGGAACAGCGGAAATTCTTGGATTTGATGTTCAGTATGGACAAAGGCGCTGGACTGAGTATCCTACGAAACGGAATCGGATCCTCCCCGGACATGAGCGACGACCACATGGTGTCGATCCAGCCGAGGAACCCCGGCGGCCCCAATGCCGAACCCAAATACGTCTGGGACGGTTCCGACAACGGTCAGCTGTGGGTGTCAACCGAGGCGGCGCACACATACGGTGTCAAGACGTTTTACGCCAACGCTTGGAGTGCGCCAGGATACATGAAGACGAACGGGAACGATGCCAACGGCGGCAGCCTGTGTGGCGTGTCGGGAGCTAGCTGCTCTAGCGGAGACTGGAAGCAGGCGTTTGCCAATTACCTGATGCAGTACGTTAAGTACTACGCCGCCGCCAACATCTCTATCACCCACCTTGGTTTTCTCAACGAACCCGATTACACGTAAGTTGTGTCTCTGACGATTCCGGCGTACCACCACCCCCCATCACAGCCATTCGCCGCTGACGCACGCACACAGGACCTCGTACGCATCGATGCGGTCTTCCGGATCCCAGGCCGCCGACTTTATCAAAGTCCTCCGGCCGACCCTCGACAACAACGATCTCGGTTCCGTCATCATAAACTGCTGTGACACGATGGGATGGACCACGATGAACAGCATGTTAAGCCAGATGGGTAGCACGCAATCCATGCTCGGTACGGTGACGGGACACAGCTACACATCCAGCGCCACTTCCCAGCTGTCGACCAAACTCAAGACGTGGATGACGGAGGCCGCTGACAACAACGGCGCGTGGACGTCGGCGTGGTACTCCAACGGCGGCGCGGGGGAGGGCATGACGTGGGCCAACCACATCTACTCGGCCATCACAGGCGCCAACGTGTCGGCGTACCTGTACTGGATCGGCGGCCAGGACCGCAGCAGCAACACCAACAGTAAGATGATCCGCGTCGTCAACAAGCAGGTCGATCCGTCCAAGCGACTGTGGGCGATGGCGAACTGGAGTCGCTTTGTGAGGCCTGGCGCGGTGCGTGTGGGTGCTTCGGGCAGCGGCGTGAGGACAACGGCTTTCCGTAACGTGGACGGGATGGTGTCGGTGCAGGTCATCAACAGTGGTGGTGAACGGGCCGTGACCATCACTGTTGGCGGTGGCGACTTCGTGGCTACCAATGCTACGGCATGGGTGACGGACAACACGAGGGACTGTAATCCCATCGCGGCCACAGTGGATGCTACTGGGAAGGTCTCGGGCAACGTACCGTCGAGGAGCATGGTCACATTTGTGTTGCGCCCTGCCGCCGCGGCCAAGGTTTGAATTTGTTGAGATGTCAGCGCACGCACATAGGTACTAGCAGCCATACATACCGGTAGCAGCCCCCTACAACGGATAACATGTGAATTGTGTCGGCCCTGTTTTATGGGATCGACTGCGAACCCGACCAGCAATTCTAGTATCGGTATGTCTCGACAGGAACATACCGCCCGGGTTAAAAGAACCACTCTCCCGAGACACAATGACATGACAGAGTACATTTGACAGACTCCCAAGCTTAACTTTGTAGATACATCCAATAACGATACCTCCCCCCAGTCCCCTTCCCCCCTTGGTTTCGGGTCTTTCCCGGAACATGTGCTTACCCGCGCGCCAAGTTGTGCCTAAAAAGACGGTAGAGGTTGTTACCAACTACCTACCTACCTAAGTACCTACCAGCCAACTAATGCCTCCAGGCTACCTACCTGAGTAGCTAGGGAAGAGAAAGGGGGCTCTGCTGGGTATTACGGCGGTTCCCAAGATACTAGATAAATTGCGTGGGATCCCATACAGTTGGGCTTGGAGTCTACAATACAGTAATGCTTAAGAGCTGGATGGTGCTGTGCGTGCCATCGCGACATGAAGGTGCAGGAACACGGTGAAGGATTTAACGGAACCAAACCGAGCGACCGCTTGGGAAGAGGAGTCGGTGCTGTGTGTGTGGAGACGGCCAACCAAGGAACTAAAAATCCTTAAACCGACGAGCTAATTTCCGGGGCGATCTCTCGCGTCTGAAATGGGATCCATGTGCCGCCGAGTGTGGTCTGAGCTTTAACCGTGAATTGCGGCACAGTCCCAGGAAGCGCGTTTCATATTCCCCTCCTCCCCTTTTCCCTTCTCGTCGTGGTCGTGGCGACGACTTGTCCCGCAAAGAATACCTAACCTGTACGAAGTATACTCGTCGTTATCATGGGCTTCTCATGGCGTCTCTTCCCGCTCGGGAGCTGCCTTTTCGCCGTAGCCATGCTTGTTCAGCCCAGTGTTGTTTCCGCGCAGACGTTTAGATTCCCGGACGACGCGACGCCGACAGAGTTCCAGGGGTTTGTGACGACTGCCCCCAGCTCGGGTGAGTGACACTTGATTTACCTCACCACACCCCCTCCACGCTCTCTTCTGGCGGCTGACGCGGGGCGCGCGCAGTGGGAACATGGTCATGTGTCCCCGGCTCGACACATACCACTCACAGCACGTGGGCAGCGTGCTGTGTGGCCGGCGAGGACTGTCAGTTTTTTACAGAATGTAACGCTGGAACGGCGACGAGGATGGACGGCTCGACCTATGTCTGGTGAGCTTACTCGAGCAGGCCAATGATGGTAGAGAGTCTGACCCATTCCCAGCGCCACCAACATCCCCAACTGCTACACCATGACCATCTACCAAAGCTACCCTTCCGCCGCTTTGAGCTGGTCGGCAGTCGGCTGCGTGCAGCCTGGCTTCAATGCCTCCACCGTGTATCGGGAAATCGTGGTGGGAACTACGCCCACACCGTCGCCGGGTTCGAGTACTATTAGCACGGGGACTACACCCTCGGCCATCCCATCGACGCCGGTTGAGACGGGCGCTCGCGAGTCGGCCAACACATCGCAACCGAGTTCTCCGACCTCACAGGCTTGGATCGCCGGCGCGGTGATCGGGCCCGTCGCCGCGGTTGCTCTCGCTGCCTTCCTGGCCTTTTGGCTAGGGAGGCGAAAAGGGAGGAGGGAGTTGGAGGAAGAAATCCCTCAGAGTCACGTCGGCAGCCCAGACTTTGAATCAGCGACGATGCAAAGTACAGTGTCCCCAACGACAGTGAAAAGCGAACCCGCCGGCATCACTGCTATCGCGGAGCTTGCGGACTATCGCACGTTAGAACTAGACTCCCTTCCCGTTAATAGTCCCAATGGGACTAGAGGGTATGAGATCAAAAGGGAAGACAGTTGGTGAAATAGGCTCCGGGTTTATTAGCACAGCACACACGTCAATATAGCGTTTGTAGCCATGGCAGAAATCATGGCAGCCATGCTGCCTAGCTGAGATCGGCCACGAGGGTGTGAGAAGAAATGATAAGGCTTGCGAAAGGCCTCAGATTTAAGCCTCATGCCGACTCCCTGTGGAACGCTGACATGTAATCAATGCTGACTGGCTTGCACCTTGACTGCGGCACACTAAAAGACAGGGATGAAAATCAAAAGAATAACAACTACGAACCGGGATGGGGACCGGACCACGGTGGCGGTGTGTGCAATTATATATGACAGCCACATACGTACGGGCTGAGAATTGTATGTACATACTCAACACCCGGCCTCGTAACTTCGCGGTCTGCTAATGCTAGGGGACTGATTCAGCTAGATGGTACGCGAATCCTTCTCGCAATCTTGACCGAATAGTAACAACCCACTTTCACCGGACCAAACCAAACACTACCTAGGTACCTACCGTTCGCATTCCCGGCACACATCATCACCCAACAACCTGGGAAGGCTGAAAGGTTACGTCAACAGGTGCGCATGTAATGAGGCGCTGGCTATATATCTGCCCCGGCTTCCAGTCCGGGGTCACGGTGGTCGTGTCGGTGCACGTCAGATCGAGATCACTTAAGCCCGTCACCACAAATGTTCCTCTGTTCCACACAAATGGCCGTTAGCTGATTGCACTGGCTACACACGCAGAGATGGAACTGGAACACAGGTCTCCAGGAAGCATACGTTGCCTTCTCCTCGCTGCATATAATGGACTCGGTGATATCGAGTTGCCCAGATGGGCGGCTAAAGCGGAACCTCACAGAGGCGCCGGCGGGGGCACTGGCGGGCAGACTGCAGGAGTATTCGACGGTCCCGTAGAAAAAGTCGGAGAGCTGGCTGCTAGAGGCGGCACAGACGGCCGTGTAGGAGACAACGGTGTTGGTCAAGTTGAAGTTGACATATCCCCACGAGTTCTGGTGCGCGGGGTTGGTGAAGGTGTATGAGGCATGGTAGTCAAAACCGTGAACCGTCCAATCCAGGCCGAGAATGTCCTCCCAGCACTTGCCATCGCGTGGCGGCTTCGGTTCGCAGCCAGGTCCGTCATCGCTGCCACCAGTTCGGGCATCAAGGGGCGTAGAGTAGGCGAGGGTGATGAGGAAACCCACAACGAGGGGAGTGAGTTTTGTCATGATGCTGGAAACGAGCGTGTCGGTTATGTGGAGCAGCAGTGTTCCGTCCGAGCTATTAAGTACTAAGGGGAGAGAGTCTTTTATTCGGAAGAGCGGCAGGACGGGGGTTTATAGTCGAACAATGAACCTTGTAGTGTTGCTCATGTCATGCGAGAGAGAGTCGATTCCGTGGCTGCCAAGCGCCTGGAGCAAGCCACACGCTCGTATTGACGAGAGGGTGTGGCATGCTTTGCAGTAGCGGTCTTAACAAACCACTCTGATTGGGGGAGTCGCTCTTGTCACCGGCGTCTTCGACATCCCCGTACCTCGAGGGCCGAGCCCAGATCCCATGGAACACGGTTGGTAAGGGATGGCTTTGCAGTCCAGCACACACTGAAAGATCTAACTACCGAATCGCCAGCGGCCGGTCTTGGAAACATACCTTCTCGCCCTCGTGTCGGTCGCCTTCTAGGGACCGCCAGTCAAATCAAGTCGGCATTGGGTGCTCCCGAAGAAAGCCGGGTCTTCACGCCCTGCATTTCGGAAGCCGAAGCGCACAAAGTTCAACTCGATCAAGACAAAGCTTCCCGGTGCCGGGTTTGCGTGTCAGAGAGGATTGGAGGACAGGATAGGCGAGAAAGCGACCCTGCCTTGGACAACTCTTTGCTTATTTCAACACTACTGCAGCAGCGTAGCACGTGGCGACTTCGCCGCTATTCTATTCGGGCACTAATAATACCTACCTACCTCACCTATGCACAGCACAATCCATCGTTGCTGTACAACAAACACGCAACATCTTTCTTGTTCCCATTATTTGCCAGAGAGTGTGTCTTGCTCCGAATACATTTATTTGCATGCGGACTGGTGACTGATCCCGTTTCCCAGCCTCGACAATGACAATGAATATCCAACGTGATCTCACCATGCTCTAGTCATTTTCCCAGCCACCTGATCTCACGGCGGTTGGGCTGCCGTGCCGGCAATCCTTCATTTTCTGAATCGGTTAGGCTATTATCTTCTCTGTTTCTGCCCCGACTACTGGCCTCACTAGGTGGTCGTAGGTCTCCTCATCCCAGACCACCACCGGCCACCCATAGCTTGTTGTTGAGCTCATACCCCTCGATTAGGGGTAGCATGAATATGGGTAGCGGCTCTTTAGCCTCGTGAGCGAGCATGGGCTCTTTATCATCATGCCCCTAGGCTACCAAACCGAGCCGCTGTGCGCCGATACCGCCCGCGTTATGAACAACAAACTCAACAGCCCTGATAAGAATAGTTATCCCACAGGAATGCTTTGCAATCAAGCCGGAGCACCTTGTCCCTTACCACAATAGCCTTTTCCTTCAAGGTCTCGTAGGCTGTGTAGTCGGTCAGCCATAGCGACCCGTTCCATTGCTGGGGCCATGTAGAGCGGTTTGACCGAAGCGCTGGTGTCCAGCTCAGCCTACCCGCCGCCAACACCGAGGCTGACGCCAATCCAGGTTGATGGCTCCGTTTCGTGATCATTCTTTTCCTCGCTGCCCTCGCTCGACCGGGACGAAGGGAAGTTGGGAGAGTGTCCTTGCCGGCGTCGCCAACATTTCGCGGCTTGTAAATACCGCCATTTTCATGGCTTCTCATATACAATGTCGGTTCGGAGGGGTAGCGTTGGTGGCGAACCGGGCGTGATGAATGAATGCCATTTCGTTTGCTGACCGGGTCGGATTATGGTGGTCGTGCGAGGAGGGTACCAACCAACGACCCCCCGTCCCGGCTGCATTTTAGACGGTTGAGTACGATGTACAGATTAATTGATCATCTTATCTCGGGGGAGACCTGATGTCCATAGAGAACTGCTCAAGCTGCTAGGGAGAACTTAACCGCGGTTTGCGTTTCGACTCGGGAGCAAATGCCAACGAAGACTGGAATCACGAGGCCGGTTGTGTCATCTGAAAACCAAAGCATAGTATTTGTACATACACGAAAATTCACAGCGCGCCAGACCCCCCAGACCCTCCAGACACCTTAGCGTGATGCCGGAAGTCCAGTTTACCAACCAACGAGCAAGATGGCGGGCAGAACCCGCGTTCCTTTCGGGGTGTAGTTGCCCGACGCGCAAAAAAACCGGCCCACGGACACCACCAAGGAAAGAAAAATACCAGCCGACGTAATGAAACTAGCCACCCTACCCCGAATGTCCCAAGCTGCCACCCGAGAACCGCCGCGCTCGCCCGGGGTATCAATCAATACTAGCCACCGTGACCGCCCCGAGAGGCATATTGCCCATTACCATTTAGTGGTTGTTGTCATTATTTAGTAGGGAGCGCCCATGTGGCCGGGTGCGTGCATAGAGCTGTGGCGCATTTGCACGTTCTCGGCAACGCGTCCGGCAACCTGACTCATGTTGGAAAGCGTCTTCAGCGCTGGATCGTGCGGCGCGATGCGGCTGATCTCGAGGAAGAGCTGTTCGATCCGCGTTTTTAGGAGCGTCATGATTTTGGGTGTGACTTCCCGGACTTGATCATCCTGTAACACGAGCGGATGGGTTAGTACGTGTGTCAAATGCGAAGAGGAAAGGAGGAAACGTACCAAGGTCCCTAGGTTCTGGTTGAATGCATAGACCACGACCTCTAAGAGGTTAACCTTCTTCATCAGCTTCTGCGAGCTGCGACTCAGGTCAACCGAGACGGTGGCGCCGACCGAGAGTAAGAGAAGAGGCTGGAGATCCTGCACGAAGATTGGGTTGTAGCTAGAGAGCACCTGCTGGAAGATCTCCTCCGCCTTGTCACCCGACTGTAGCCAGCGCAGCATTGCCTCGTCGTAGTTGGAAGATCGCATCAGGCCATCGATCACCTCAACTAAATTATCAAGCTCCAGCTTTTGGCGCTCTTCACGGCTGAGTGGGGCGAACACAACCTGACCCTCCTGATTGCCGAATCGAGGCTGATGCTGCTGCTGATGCTGCTGCTGCTGCTGTTGTTGTTGCTGTTGGTGCGAGTACGGGGCTTGCACTGGCTGCTGGTGCGCGGGGGATTGGTGCTGCTGCTGGTGTTGCTGCTGGTGCTGCTGGTGCTGCTGGTGCTGCTGGTGCTGGGATGGGTAGTTGACCAATTCTCGAGAACTAGCGCTGGGTAGGCCGTGGGAGCCAGCGGCACTGTGGGAATGAGTGTGGCTGCGCGCGTGTTCTTCGGCGGTCGAGGCCCTCTCGCGGCTTTGGTCGTGCATCTGTTGCTTAAGGGCGGCAAGGTCGTGCTGCATCTGCGTGTGAGACGCGGCCAAGGACGAGATCGCACTGGAGAGGTCCTCCGTCTGGGCAATGAGCCGGTCGAGCTTGGCGTCTTCATTGCGGCGGCGTTCGTCAAGTTGCTCAAAGGCATCGCTGATCCGGCTACCGACATCTTCAACGATGCGTTGATGCACACTTTGAGCCGTCGTATTGGCAATGGCGGGCGTGAGAGCACTGAGCGACTTGGCAATTTGGCCCTCCAGTTGGGCATTGACGTTATGCGAAACCTTGTCCGAAACTGGCTTGATGAAGTCTGGCTTCAGCATGGCCTGGTTGACAGCGCTGGGAAGGAGCCTCTGGATTTCCCTTTGTACGGCATTGACCTGGGCGGTCGACTTGGCGCTAAGCTGCTCGGACACCGAGCTGTCGATAGCGCTGCGAACGGACGGGATGACGTTATTGTTGATCTCAGTGATGATCAGGTTCTTCAGGACCGCCTCGGTGTTGTCATTGAGGACGTCTGCCACCATCTGCAGCAGCGCTGACTGATTGCTGGCAAAGGCCGAGTCGCGGTTGTCCTGAAAGCTCTGCATTTGCTTCAGAATCTCGTTGAAGACGGCGTCGAAGCGCCCGGAGAGGTTGGAAACAATGCGCGACTCCATTTTGCCAACCACGGCGTCGAGTTGCTCTTGGAAAGCCGGATTGGAAGTGAATGCGAGATCGGCGGATGGTTTGCTTGACGCCGCGTCCGAAGTAGCATCAGCGTGGCGGGAAGGTTTGTTGCCCTTGGTTTGCGAGGGCGCCCGATTGATTTCCATAGTGCCATTTGAAGCCGGGTGGTCGCTAGCCGCAGCAGCAGCAGCGGCGGCGGCGGCAGCAGCAGCAGTGGCCTTCTTCTTCCGACCCTTCTTCTCATTCTTCTCCGGGGCAGGCCCAGGTGTCTCAACCTCGTCCTTTCGCTCAAACTTTGGCGGAGTCATGGATTCTGAACCCTTCTTTTCGTCGACCTGGGGCGACGCAATCTTAGGCACGACGTCCTTGGCGCCGCGGGTGGCGATCCGAATCTGCGGGGCTGCGAGAGCATCGCCGGTCATGTTGGTATGCGGTGCCTCAGCGGCCTGGGGCGGAGGCGGGGCTACCAGCTTCGAGATTTTGGCCAGACCAGCCTCCACAGCATCGGCGGAAGCAAGTACCTTGTTATCCTTCGTCCAACCCAGCTCGGACTGCTTGATGAACAGACAGGTGACACCCTTGGAATGCATGGCATACAGCTCGAAGAGCGTCGGCTCGTCCCCATCGCCTGAGGCCGCGGGGTTTTCGAGGATGTTGAGGCTGCGTAGCATGCCTTTGTTGGCCAACGAGTACTCCCGAATACCACTAATGACGGCAGTTGACTCAGGCTGCGGGATTGACGGATCCTGAGCGACGAGTCGCTGGATGTAGTCGACTTGTGATAGGTTCTTCAGCGAATATTTAGGAGCCGAGAGGTGGAGGAAGTAAATCGAGTTGCGGGTAGGATGGCCGACGATAATCATGCTGGAAGGCGCGTGGTACATGACGCTGCATACAGCGTCGGACTCCTTGTTGTGCGGGAAGTTGAACTCCTGCACCGGCTTGCCCAGCGCGAGATCCCAAAGCTGGAGGGTGTGGTTCTGCTTCATGCCCACAATCATGTACCTCAAGGCGGCACGCTTCTGGTACGGTCGGAACTTATCCAGCAGCAACACTGAGGTAGGCCACGCCTTTTCGCCCTCGGGCGTGGTAGTCAGGGTCATGAGCGGCTCCTTGACCTCCAGCGATGTCCGCGCCGGCATGGGATGCAGAGGGTCTGAACCCTCCTTGATGGCCGTCAAGTCGCGGACATCCCAGAACTTCACCCGCCCAGACTTGTCCAATGAGACAACGAGCGTATCGTCCTGGCTGAAAGTGAAGTCCTTACCAGCCTTACCGGTGTTGATCTTCAGCGAACACTGCTTCAGGAGCTTCTCGGTATCGACAACGCGGTCGTGCCCGTTCTTGAAGAGGTCGTTCTCGAACACGAAAGCGGGCCAGACAATGTTGATTGACTTGCCCCTGCCGACGGCGAAGAAGTCGGGGTGCATGGCAGAGGGCCGAGCGCGCGTCTTGAGAACACCGCCGGGAGCATCGCCGCCCTCCTGAGCCGAGATGGGGGGAAGCGCAAAGCCGTATTGCTCCGGATGGGTGTCCTCTAGGTGGTCCCGGTCGCCGTTTTTGAGCTGAACCCAGTACACCGTTCCGCTGACGCCGGTGCCGATGATAGCCTCCTTCGGATGGTGGTGGGATGGCGAGGTTGAGATGGCGACGTTGAAGATACGATCCTTGGTGTCGGTGAAGAGCTTGGCGTCTTTGCCGTCCTCTTGTCTGATTACCCGAAGGCCGCCAGCCTTGGACATTCCGTAGGCCATGTAGGTCTCGGAGGCCGAAACCAGGTTACGGTCAATTTGATCGAAGTCTTTCTTGAGGCGTGCGATGTCGAGAATAGCCTCCTCACGGAACACCGGGCGAGACTCGTTGATCTCTTGCAGGCTGATGGTGATCCAGGGCTTCATGGGGAAGTTGTACACCTTGACAGGGGCGGCCGTCTCTTCGATCACCACGATCTCCTCGGCCTCGGCGCTCTCCCAGCTGTCAGCTACAGGGCCCTGAGCCGCCGGTGCTGTGTCATCTCCACTGTCCCTGGGCTCCTGGGCGAAGTCTTGCGCCAGCGAAGAGTCGAGGAAGGCCTTGTCCTCTTCCTCAGCGCGCTCCTTGTTGGTAGCCGGAGAGGCGGTTCGAGCCGAGTGAGAGGATCCTTCCTCATTTCTAGCGCTAGCCGCGTGCTCTGGGATATGGGCCGTGTCAACTTCGGCCTGCTCTTGTTCAGCCCGGGTCAACGCCTCCCTGGCTTCTCGGTCGGCCTGCTCGGCAAGCCCGCTGACGGCGTCCGCCACACTCTCTTTCTTCTCTTCACTGGGGGCCCGACCGGCAAGGGGAGCTGCTGCATGGGGCGAAGCGCCGCCGAGGTTTGACACAGGCGAAACAGTGTTGCCAGCAGACCAGGCGGCGTGGGCCTGCGACAGCGGGGACACGGGGTGCTCAAGTTTGCGCCTGGCGTGCTCGGGACTGTCGATCGAGCCGCGGTCGCTGGCTGGACGCTTCTGTTCATGCGACGGTTGGGTAGGTTCGGGGTTCTTCAGGATCTGGGTCGGAACAGGAGCAGGGTGGCTGCTGCCAGCAGCCGAACCGGAAGCTCCGGGGGTGGTGGAAGATTTCGGTGTCCGATGGACTGGAGACGACGCTGAGAGGCCGTCGAAATGGTCCGAGTAGCCAAGAATACCGGGCTGCCTTGAGCTGGACTGCTGCGAGTGCTGTGAATGCGGGGTCGAGTCAAACTTGGGGGGCGGAGACTCGGTGTTCTTGGGCTCGAAATCGAACTCGGAGCGCGAGGCTAGGGTGCCCACAAGGGTCGGCTCGGCGGAGCGGCCGCCATGCGAGCTCTCGTTGTCCTTTGGGTCATCGGTAGCAGGTGGCGGGGTCAGTAGGCTGGATTCTGCGGGGTCCGCCCCGTCGTGCTGGCTGGGCTTTGGCCTGTTAAGGAGGTTAAGCAGGTATTGTTGCGTGCCGGACGGGGGCTCGGCCTGATTCCAGGACGGTGGGCTGGGCTCGGGCTTGCCGGAATCGGACTGTAAGTTGCCCTTCATAAGGGCAGCGAGCAAGCCTGTGGGATCGGCGGCGGCCGGAGCGGGCGCGTGGATGACGGGAGGTGCGATTGGCGCTGGCGCAAAATTCATTGGCAGCTCTCGAGATGACGGTTGGTGCGGGTTCGCAGGGCCATTCTGGCTGTTGTACTTGAGTAGGTTCAGCAAATGCGCGGTCCGGCCGTCCCCCCCGCCAGCCCCGCCACCGCGAGCGGCACCCATCTGATTCATCATTCCCGGGGGGAACTGGGAGTGGCCAAAACCGACGGGCGGCGTGGGAGCTTCGGGCAGAAACGCGGGCGAATCCATGGCGTTCTGAGCATGGCTCGGTAGGTTAGGCGAGTCAGAATTTGAATGATGACCATAAAAGGACTGGCTGCCGTGGTGGTAGTTGAACTGGCCGGAATATTCGGGCGCAGAACCTGCGCTAGGGCCAGGGCTGGGCGACGACTGGAGGCGGAGCTGCGCGAGCAGCGATTCGAACTTTGGGTTTGCGTCCGAGTCGCCAGCGCCAGCAGCGCCACCGCCGCCAGGCATGCCGTAGTTAGACATGGTAACGGTCGTTGTCGCGATCGGGGTTTTGGATCACTGTAGGACGGCGCGATGTTCAAGAGCGCAGCACCAGTTGGTAGCACCGTTGTTTCACCCGGGCAGGTCGCGTGGGGAGAATGAGGTTGAGAGGCGATGACGGAACAACTGACGGAGAATGAGGACCTTGCGCAAGGGCCAACCCCGAAAATGCAGAAACAGCGGCTGCAAGGCAAAACACACACGACCATTAACCACTCGGCGGTCGATATCGTAAAGCAAAAAAACAACAACGAGTCCGGCGGCGCTGCTGCGTTCGGCAGAGACAACCGCAGGTTCTGCACAAAAGCAGCGGTGTTGCCGAGAAAGGGCGTTGGTTTGTTTGCCAGGCCTGCTTGTTGCGTGGGTGGTTGAGTGCTTCAGAAAATTATATTGCAGGCGGTCGAGGCGGCTGGGAGCATTTCATGGTCCGTGCCCAGGGTAGCGGCTACACGTGTCCGTCGCTGTGGCGCGTGGCAGAACCAGGCAGGGCGTGGGGAGAGGAACGGTGGGGTCCAATGGGAGACTCGCAGGAAACCTGGACTCTGCAAAATCGCATGCGGCCGCAGAAACAGGGCTCTCTTCTTTTATCCTTTTAATTTCCGTCATCACCTTTCCAACAGCAGCATTTGTCTGGATTTGGAGGAGAGATGCAGGAGAAAAGGCAAGGGCGACGAAGTAATATGAATAGGTAACTACCGTATGGACTGCAGTGGTCATCGATGCGGACTGGGGCGCGAAGCCCTGGGGCTCGCCAAGAAACAGAAGGGACCTCCAGTCGGGATGTGTTGTTGTCGGCCTGCCCCGCGTCAGACGGGAGGTTGACTGCCGTGTGTGTAAAAGTCGTCCTTCGGTACCAAGTACCTACCCAGGTACGTGGTTATGGATTCAGATATAATGGCTCCATGGCGTGTGAATTTTCTCTCGGTTAGGTATAGGAGGAAGCCGTTGCTTGGAGGCGCTTCCGATGAGCGAGCGATAGGCGCTGATATTTGGTACCTCAGCACGCTCAGTTACAGAGTGCTCGTGGGAGACGCAGAGAGCTGGTATTGGCTTAGGTAAGCGCCTCGGTCAAAAAATCGCCGAGCCTCTTCCGCCACAACCAAATTGAGGAACGCATTGTGTTCAAGTAACCTCAATCCAACTTTCTACCTCAGAACGAGCACTCGGACGGCGTTCGGGATCCCCCACGTTATCTGTATACGGCGCCTATCAGAAGACAATACTATCGCACACTTTTCCGAGGCTAGACCGATTGCAAACCCACGGCTCCGACCGCGTTTCGGTTCGCTGGCCAATATTTTTACTCACTCGGCGTTCTTGTCGACATCACATGAGAGTGCGGTGCCCCCAGCGCCTCGTTTGGCTCGAGCCTGCGGAGTCCGGCGATTCATCATGTTCTGCCTTCGCAGGTAGGATTATCCTCCCCTCCCCAACGAAAGCCGACCGTGGCGATTAGGTACTGACTGATCATGCCCTCGCAGTTGGCTTCCGCTCCTCTTTATCCCGACAAATGCATCGCCGGCCTTCATATTCCTCTTCTTTCTGTGCACCTATTTCCTCAACCGGCCGTGCTTCTACTGCTCGTTCCTCCTCCTCATCCTCTTCTTGACCTCCTGCAACTGGTCCGACCGATGTTTCCTCGACCTCGGCAGCAACTGGTTTCAACCACGACCCGCGGCGAGCTACATATACCTGCCCATTCCAGGGTGGAAAGCTGAAGCGGCGACCAACTCCACGGCAGCCGAGGACCTGAATGCCACCGCCTCGGCTGTAGCTACTGAGATGTTCAACACGACAGCTGGGGCATTGGCGACTGCTGCCACGGAGCAGATTGCGCGGACGAGGGTTGAGTGGACGGGGCTCGGGCTGGAATGGCTGCGAAGTCTTCTTGGGCGGAGGGAATGGCGGATTGACTGCCTAGACCTTTACATTCGCTTATAGTGAAGGAAACTGGTTTGGCGACATTTTGATCTCGTGGCCGTTGGCTTGGCGAGCCTGAATTCGCTGTCTTGCGGCAAGGCTGGCACGGCCACGGATATGCATCAAACGGCGTTTGGGAGGTTTATCTGGCTTGTTTGCGAAGATGGTTGGAGCATAGATACAGCGAGACAACATTTTTACTCCGTTCCTGGCCGCGTTGTCTCGTTTGTTGTTGCGGTGTCGAACTTCTCAGATTGGTCTTTTCTCTCCTGGAATTACGGTGTTCACCTCTTGTCACCCTTGGAGCTGGGCTCACGACATGCAGGAATCTGGGGCGAACGCTTGGGCAACCTTGGAGCGGAGTAACTCATCCTGCGCTTGAGAGGACCTAACATGGTTCACACGGATATTCTCTCGAGTGACAGCGTCGGGTAGCCGTGGGTAGCGAGTCACTCGTCGCGGTCAATGCTCCAGATCCAAACGAATCGTGACAGAAATATGTCGGCGTTGATGTTCCGAGATCGACTTTCAGTGCAAGGAGTACGGAGTGGAGCGCGAGATGGTTGTGTGGGACCCCGAAACCGATCAAGACGGAGAACTGACCAACCGACGAGCCAGAATCCCAATAAAAGATGAGGTGCATACGCGATGAGACGGTCTTTTCGGGTCTCGAACGCCCCGATGTTCCAAGGCCAAGGACTTCTGGCATGGTGCGATCCTTGCGGGACAAGAGTGTCTGAGTAACTCTACTGTGTACAGTACTGTGTAGGAGCTTTCTGCCGCTGGCTGCGAGGAGTCTCGTGCACATGAATCTGCGGGAGTCCTTCAAAAGGAGTTGCCAAGCAGATGCGGCCTTGATCGTTGGTCGTCGTCTCGTGAGCCCTGGTAACGAGGCCCAGAGGTAGCCCGGGATAACTACAGGTGTGACGCATTTCGCATAACTACCTACCTTCTCACGCTGATGTGCTGACATGCGAGGAATTCATATATAGCAGTTCTTCCATGGTATGAACTCGTCTTGAATATCTCGAAGCGGCAACCCCGAGCAAACTTCGTGGACTCGGAGTTGCATTGTACGCAGTACACTTGGCGCACACAATGACGACACCGCTGACACGGATGCAAGGGCTGCCCCACTTGTACCCGTTGTTCGACTTGGCCTTCCAAGTGCAGCGGCGACGCCATTGTCGCAGCCCGATTCATGCCGAGCGACCCTGATTCGTGTTCGGAGACGACAGGAGTTATACCACTTGGGAGCTTCTTCGAACCCACAACGTACGGCCAACCTTGCCTTTGACGAGGTTTTGCGCTCCCTGGACTCTTCTTGTGGGATGTCATTAATTTCGTTGAAAATGGGACCCAGTGAGCCCGCCAGTGAGGTCACTGTGGGCCAACAGCCCCAGGCAGTTAAAAAGTGCCATTTCTGGACCGGCAGATCATTCCCCTTCTCAGAAGCCTGGAATCTTTGAGGAACCCGCTCCCCTGCGTATCTTGACATCAACCCGGCCCATTGCTGCCCCTATTTTCACTGTTTTCTTCAGGGATTCCACCGTGCGACAGGGGCGCCCTTCCTTTCCCAATTGTGTCTTTGCCGTGATTCCCGCCCGCCGTCACGAACCTGGAAGGCACGAACGTCCTGTCGGTGAGGATGGAAATCGAGCAGCCTGAGCAGTTTACACAACTGAACTTGAACCTCAATTTCCCCTCAACAAGGCCAGGCCCCTGACGTGGTCGAGCACCCCCCCCCCCCCCCCCCCCTAAGCTGGTCTTGCCACCGTTTCTGATCGCCTGCTGGTGATCGTCCGACTTTCAGCGCTTCGGAACCCCCACCATCCCAATTACCTAACCTCGTGTCCATGCTCCGTTCCATCTGGTCCCCTGTTTTCCTTTGTTCCTGAAACCCGCCTCTTGTTTCTTTTCCAACAACCAGAATTGACGACAGGCCTGATTTACGAATTGCGTCCCCCAAAAGTTGTTGGCTTGAGAGGTTCGACTTCAGTTGTCGTTTGCCGTGCCGCCATCCAACCGTCCATACCCCGCGGCGACTCGCCGAGACTCCCGGCAATCACGGACCGGGGTCTCTTTTCCCTGCTCCACCCGGGTCGACTGTGTAAGGACGAACCCCACACGATCCGGCTCTGTCGTCGTTTCAAGAGGCCAGTCCAAGAAAGCCCCAACATCCGCCGTCCGAGAAAAGGCTGTCCATATCTTACACCCCCGACGACGAGGCTGCATCGAGGAACCAGCAAACAGAAACCCTCATTCCGATCGCGACATTCTCAGAGGCTAGGACCCACCAGGCGTTGCGCAGCGAGGCGAATTCGGAACACCTACGTCACCCAACTCGAATTCCCAACCTTGCGACCTTGGACTCAACATGGCGGCTTCATGACGGGCTGCGCTCAGCACACTACTCCCGCGATCACCACGCCAGCATAGGACTGGGGATTGTGCTTGCTGAACGCGCTGCTGCATCGCCCCATCGGTCCCGCCACCGCCCTTGATACCGCCACTATGCCTCCCGAGCACCGAGTGACCGACCGACCCTCCTATTATACAATGACGACACCAGCGCCGGTGTCCGCAGTGAGCCCCCAGGGGCTCCCCCATTCCCGCTCCAATTCCCAGTCGTACATCAACAACAAGTCTACAACTTCTCCCATGTCGTCCCCGCGGCCTCCGCCCTCGGTTGGCCAGCCGCTCCCCCCCAAGCTCTCCCCCGGAGCCGCCCGAGGCGCCGTTCAAGATGCCCGAACCTCGAGTCCGAACTACTTCGGACTGGCCGCCGACCCCGCCGCCGACCCGCGTGATTCGTGCCTGGTACCGCGCGAGAATTGGAGCTCGCCGTCATCCTCGGTCAAGTCGTTCTCTGCAGCGATCCCCAAGCAGCTTCCCTTGGATGCGAACCCCGAGTTCGAGGCCTTCCGGAGGCAGATCGATGCAAACCGCTCCAGGGCTGCGTTTAGCTTATCGGCTTCTCACTTCGGTGTTTCAACGGGAGGCGCGCACACCCCGCCGGCCTCGACGCCGTCTGCTCTGCAGCGGCCACGCCCCCCGAGATGGCACACCCAAGGGGGCGATAGCTCGGATATTCCGTTTCCGCGGCCCCGTCTCGCTACCGGATCTTTTGGCTTGGGGGACCCCCCTGGAAGCAAACTTGACAAGGACGCCGACAGCCTCCAAGAAGATTCTGCGTATGTATCTGCAGATTCCAAGCGCAGCTCTGCTGTTTCGCTGAACCCGCCTTTCTTTCCGAGCATGGGCAGGCACGAGATACCCCCACCCAAACTACCGTCGCCGTTCGCGGCCCCTGACCGGGCGGGAGCCAACTTCGCCCCCTCCCACACGAATGACCGGCCGTCGCCGCAGCCCATAACCCGCGGCAAGACGGTATCACCGTCCCCCAGCTCGCTCAGCCAAATCGGCACGGCCGTGGGGCCGCAGGCGCAGGGCACTGGCGGCCCCGCTTTGATATCTCCGGCGGAACTTAAAGACATGTTAGAAAAGGACCGGGACGCGAAGCTCTTGCTGTTGGACCTCAGAGTCTCGCCCCAGTTTGCACAATCGAGGGTGCGCGGGGCGTTGAACCTGTGCATCCCCACGACCTTGCTAAAGCGCGCAACCTTCAACCTGCAAAAGCTTCAGCAAACCTTCCAGGCGGACCAGGACCAGGAAAGGTTCTCTAGCTGGCGCGAGGCGAGTCATCTTGTTGTGTATGACGCCTCTTCATCCGACCAGCGAGACGCTGTTTCCGCCATAAATATGATCAAAAAATTCACTAACGAGGGCTACTCGGGGCCTGTCGGCATCCTGCGCGGGGGCTTTAACGCATTCGCTGCAGCATACCCAGCCTTGATCGATCGATCCTCAGGCGGGCCATCCCCGGGCTTGTCGCTCGGAGGTGGCCCAGTGTCTGGCGGCCTACGCGCTAATCTACCACCAGTCATTGGCGGGGTGCTCTTACCCAATGCGCACCACAACCCGAGCCCGTTCTTCAACAACATCCGCCAGAATCAGGATTTGGTCGATGGCGTCGGCCAAATGGACATCGGTGTCCCCGCAGGCCTCGCTCTTGCCAGCCTCCCCCGTTGGCTCCGAGACGCGGCCGAGTCTGGGGATCATGGGAAGAAGGTCTCGGACAATTTTCTGCGCATCGAACGCACAGAGCAATCGCGCATGCGCGAGGCGTATTCGGTGGTCGGGCCTGCAGATATCCGAAGCGGCGCTCAAGAAAATATCACCAAAGTACAGCTATCGGGCATCGAAAAGGGAGGGAAAAACAGGTACAAGGATATCCTACCCTTTGAACACGCAAGAGTGAGGCTTCTAGGCCGCCCCGAAGGCGTTTGTGATTATGTGAACGCGAGCCACCTCCAAGCGAAACGGAGCCACAAGCGATATATTGCGAGCCAGGGCCCACTGCCCGCTACGTTTGAGGTGAGCACTCGCAGCTCTTTCGTTCTATGGGTTGCTTTCCCGTCGCGGCCGCTGACTCGATCATGTAGGACTTTTGGTCCGTTGTCTGGGACAACGATGTACGCGTCATTGTCATGTTGACCGCCGAGTCGGAGGGGGGCCAGTTGAAATGCCACCCGTACTGGAAAGGGAATGACTTCGGTCCCGTAAAGTTGCGAGTCCTCTCGGAGAAGAAAATATCGCTGGATATTGATAAGCGGAGGCCGCCGCCAACCACGGGCATGACAACGACAGACGGCCCCGCAAGCCCGTCACGGACATCGTTTCCCGATTTCTTACCCGACGCGGCCCGGCGGCGTGCGAATACGACGACGACGCTCGATATCGGGGCCCAAACGGCCAACCAGTTCGCGTTCCCCCCACAGGCAACAACAGCGACAGAGACGCCCCATGTCATCGTCCGCAAGTTCGCTCTCAGCCACGCTGCACACCCCTTCTCTCCTATTCGCGAAGTTACACAACTCCACTACCCATCGTGGCCCGATTTCGGTGCCCCGGCTCAGCCCAGTCATCTCCTCGCACTCGTCGAACTGGCAAACATCATGCAACGCAGCGTACTCCCGCGTGAGCCCCCCGTGGCTTTGACATCGGCACCCATGCCGCGACAAAAGGGTGGCTTTACAGGCGAGGCGGCGAGCAATCCGTTCTTTGCGCACCATGGCTCTGACCGAGATACCTCTACCGGGCTGAAGAGGGCAGATAATGAGAACATGCCCCTGGCTTGGCACGAGGGACCCGAATCGCAGGAGCACGCTAGCCCCTTGCTGGTGCACTGCTCGGCCGGCTGCGGCCGAACGGGCGCGTTCTGTACGGTCGACACCGTCATCGACATGCTCAAGCGCCAGAAACAGCACGTGCTGGGCCACGCTACGAATGCGACCATGCGCCGGGCGCAGCCGGGCCCACTGGTTTACGATCCGGACGGGGACATCAGCATGAGCCAAGGAACTACCGAGCCCGACCGTTTAGCAATAGATCAGCACGGCACTGTGCCGAACATTAACACGAGTTGGCTCGACGACGACGCCGTGGACCTAATTGCGCAGACCGTGGAAGACTTTCGTGGCCAGAGGCTGAGCATGGTGCAAAGTCTGCGACAGTTTGTGTTGTGCTACGAGACGGTGCTAGAGTGGGCGCGGCGGCTTCAAGAAGACGGAGGCGGGGGACTCGACGGAAAGGGGAGAGGCCGAAGCGAGAGTCTGGCGTTTTAGGAAGCGCCGCGCGGGGTTCATATCACGGCAGGACAGCGTTTGTGGATGCTCATTTTGGGTGCGGTTGGGGGGCAAAGGTATATCCAGCGGAGAAGGGTTATGGGGTTATGGGCACGGTTCGGGATGGCTGCTTGAGAACTCTGGAACTCCATGTGTAGTTTCGGGGTTTGCACAGGGGGGATTCTGCTCTATTTTATTTTGCGAAGACGACATCCCGATCAAAAGGGAAGTTTATAAAGGATACCTAGACATATGCATAACGGTGTGGCGTATAGCAACAACGATGGACGGATTCACCGAGCATTGATTCGAAGGCGTGCATGCTCAGGATGTTGGTTAGACATTGGGCTGGTATAGATTTCTAGCGCAGAACCGGGGGTCTGTCAAGGCAAGATGATGAGGAAGCAAATGTGGATCGATTGACTTGTGATGTTCCCCCACCTCATTGTATGCTTATTATACCCTGCCCTGTATCGTACAAGACGTGCTGTGTGGCCTGCCAGTTAACGGCTAGACAATCACTGACGCCTTTGTTAGGTAGCAATGGAGCAGCGCAGTTGCGCAGTCTGAACGATGACCAAACCATCACCAGCGCCTCTTCCCGCCACTAACGCCAGAGCTTGGCCAAGGACACCTCCTTGTCGTCGTGCTTGTTCAAGATCTTGGCGGTGGCCAGCTCAAAGTCCTCCTGTGTCACATGCACGCGCCTCTCCCGCAGGGCATACATGCCGGCCTCGGTGCACACTCCCTTGAGCTCGGCACCGGAGCAGCCGTTCATCTTCTCGGCAATCTTGGTCAGGTTGATGCCGCGCGTCAGGTTCATCTTGCGACTGTGGATGCGTAGAATGTCGGCGCGGGCTTCGACGCTCGGTGGCGGGAACTCGATCTTGCGGTCAATGCGGCCAGGCCGCAGGAGAGCCGGGTCGAGGATGTCCAGCCGGTTTGTCGCCATGATGACCTTGATGTTTTTGGTCGGCTCGAAGCCGTCGAGCTGGTTGAGCAGCTCCAACATGGTGCGCTGGACTTCGGAGTCGCCACCTGACGAGCCTTCGACGCGGGACGACCCGATGGAATCGATCTCGTCCATGAAGATGATACTTGGCGCGTGTTCCCGCGCCATGACAAACAACTCGCGCACCATGCGGCTGCCCTCGCCAATGTACTTCTGCACCAGCTCGGAACCCGAAACACGGATGAATTTGCAGTCGGTGTGGTGAGCCACAGCGCGGGCCAGCAAGGTCTTTCCGGTCCCGGGAGGGCCGTAGAGCAGCACGCCTTTGGGCTGCGCAATTCCGAGCGACTCGAACAACTCCGGGTGCTTGAGACCGAGCTCGATGACTTCCTTGATTTCCTTGATCTGCTGATCCAGGCCGCCGATCATGTCGTACGTGCTATCGGGCACCTTCTCGACCATCATGAGGGAGACGAGCGGGTCGACTGACGAGGGCAGGATCTTCTCGAGCTTGTACGAGTCAGATAACAAGGTCACCCGTTTGCCGACTGTGAGCTTCGAGACATCGACCGAGTCGGCGACATCGACAACTGCGGGGGGACGGATCGCATTAGCACACGAAAATGGCGGCCACAACTCGAGGAAACCATGGAAATGGCATGGCGCACATACCGTATTTCCCCTCGGGATGTACCTTGACCAAGACCTTTTTGGTGCCCATCACCTTGACCACTTCGCCAACGTACGAGCCTGGCTGTTGCAGCAGGCCCAACTCTTCTCTGAGCAGGCGTACCCGCGAGTTGTAGTCATTACGCTGAGCTTCGAGGCGACGGAGAACAGCTTGACCTTTGAGGATCTCGAGTTGCATCGCCTCAATCTTGTTGTGGTAGTAGTTGTCGAGCGCCATGGTGACGGCGTCGCTGTGGGAGGAGGTCTTGCGGGGTGCTCGGTAGGAAGGAGGGTCTGGTGGGAATCTCGTATCGGGAGGAGCCTGGCGGGACGGGAGGTGACTCTGGAAGCTTGGACAAGATCGACGTCGCGAGGGTCGCGAGGTGTAACAAAGGTCGATGTCGGGTGGTGCCGTGTGTGTGGAAATGTGATGCGGGTGGAATCCAAAACGGGCGTCGACCAGCTTGGCTTGAAGGCAGCGCAGGTCCACGCAATGCGCCGGTCGCCAACGCCAAGGCTTGACTTGCTCTGGGCGAAATCGTGGCACGTGACTTGGCGCCGGCATCCCCCACCCACTCTCTTCACACGATGGAAAAAGGAACGGTCCAGCAGAGCGCCAGAGGGAAAAGGCTCCTCAGATTATTATGTCAGCTCCTCAGCTCAGAGGCCGATGATGTCATTTTCAAGTCGGCGATGCGCTGACAGACCATCGGCGTATTCGTCGTCACGACGAGTTCCTAACCAAAAATAACATAGAAAACTACGAATACCTGTTCTAGGTTAAAGGGTACCAATGCCGAGAGCGCTCTGCATCGGTCCGTCATGCAGGTGTGTGTAAATGACCGCCAACGCCTTGTTTGGAGGGACTTGTGGGATGTCTCACAGCGTAACTTGCTCAGCCAAGTGCCTAGGCTTGGAGAGTGATCAGCAGAAGCCTGGAGGGCCCGCCCGGAGCGCAACACGCGCAGCAGTCTCGCAGGGACGGGCGCAGCCACATGCTGCGGCACATCCCGGTGTTGGTGGTTTCGTGAGGCGACCTATTCGCAGCGGTGCCGCATCCGACCACTGGCGACCCACCCCCAACAACACCCTTCTGCAGCATTGTGGTGGTGCAAACACTGGATGAAGTGAGACATAGCGAGAAGGATGTCGTCCTCGTTTCACCGCTCTGCTTGGCCAGCTCCTTTGACGGGATATTGATGTTGTTTTGCTGTACTTGTATCCGAGAAGTCCCGTCGGTTCGAGTCCCGCAGGTGCGAAGCTGTCGCACCTTCGATTGCCTTATCAACCACGCCAACCCCGTTTTCCAGCTCTTTGTGGCTGCCTTGTCTTCCCCCGGTTTTTAAACCAACAAACCCATTTCCGATTTGCAGTTACGGGGTTGACGAGACTGCCATGACATCCTAAAAACCCGCTGCATCCGTCCCACCAACCGCGTTCGACGGCCCTTGTTTATAACTAGCTAGTTGTTGATGGTCGAACTCCAACTAGTTAAGCTTAACCTATCCGAGCAAGATCATCAGCACCAAATCTGCGTTCACCTCACTCCCTTCAAACACATCCTCGCGCGCCATCCGTGATGGAATCCCCGGGACCTGGTCGCGATTCGGCGGCCGACCCCTCTCCGACCGACACGCGACGGCTTTCGCAATCCATGTCCACCATTCAAGACGATGATGGTGTCGATGCTGCACGGAGGCGACCAGAAAGTGGGTAACGGGCGATCGCGTTCTCCGCATTGTGTTCTTGGCACTCGGGACACAGCTCCGTTGCCGTCGTTCCCGTTGTTACTCTCAGCTGGTGGTTTTGGAACCCTCGAGAACGAATTGGCTAATGTTCTACTTTCTCCGCTGTAGGCGCCATGCAGAGCCCAAACCCCGGAAACCCTTCTCGCTCCGACGGTGGCCTGTCGCCAGCGGGCGATCTTCTCACGCCACGAACCGGCCCAGGAGCCGCGCGGTCGCGTCCTCGCAAACCGCCCATGGCGCGGCGCGCCTCCTCCAGTGCCCAAGCCCCTTACCGAGGCGGCGTGTTCTCAGTGGACGATGGCATCGCCGAGGTCGAAGCTGACGCCGCGGAGCGCCAGCAGAGTTACACGACCACACTACGAAGACGAGCTGGTGCCCCGCCCGCACTCGTAAGGATCCACTCTTCCGCCGCCGACGAGGATCCCGTCAGCGAAGGGATCGAAGAGGAGGCCGAACAGGCCGACAACAACCCGGCGGAAGAGTCCGGTGGAGACGCACCCGAGGTAGAGCACCCGGACGTCGCGACGCCTGACGATGATGACGGGGACGTCAGCGACGCCGAGAGCTTCACTCTCAAAGACCGCCAACAGGCCATCAATCAGACACACCCTTTCGGTATCAGGCTTTGGAAGCCGGCCCTGTACAAGAAGAGCCGTTCGGTACAGAAGAATGCCGAGGGCGATATTCACTCATCACCCGGCGGCCATGTCAGCACCTGGCTGCTGTTCTTCAACCTTGTGTGGACCCTTGCTTTTGGTTGGTGGATGGCCTTGATTGCCTTCACCGGTGCTATCGTCTGCCTCCTCTTCGCCGCCGCGCCCGGCGGGCGGGAGTATGGCCAGGTCCTGTGGGGCCTGTCGGGTTACATCTTCTATCCCTTTGGCAAGTTTGTGGGGCTGGAGCAGCAAGAAGCCTACCTGGACGAAGACGAGGGCGAGGGCCGAAGCATCAGCGAGTACGAACAGTGGCAGAGCGGCGACCTGGAATATGGCCGGTTGTTCTTTGGGCCGGACAGGAACCGCTCCATTGTCGGGCGGTCGCGGCGAAGCCTCGACTCGGAACCGGACGAGACCGAGAGCCTCCTCGGGAGAGGGCGCGGGCAGGCCTTGGACGATCAACTCCCTCGCATGAAACGGAGGTTGTTCGGCCGCGGGGAGTGGAATGTCGGCCGCGTCATCTTCTTTGCATTCTTCTATTTCCTGATCATGCCCTCGCTATTTGTCGTCTCGGCCATTTGCTGGTTGCTGGTGTTCACGATCCCCATGGGCAAAGTCACAATGCTCCTGTTTTCCCATCTCCGGCGCCACCCCCTGGCCCTGTCCTTCGAATCCGATATCGCCTCTGCCCGCGCCCCCACGACACCCCAATCTTCCATCCTGCTCTGTACCTATCGAGCTGTCGGCCTCAAGTACTGGAAGTACACCATCGATGGAACCAACATCTTCTTGATCAACCTCATGGCCATCGTAGGTTTTGTCATCTTCGACTGGCTCGTCCTGGATGGGCTCCTGCACATGGAGAACTTTCTCACGTCCCCCGCCTTTCTCTTCGTGTCGGGCCTCCTATCCATCATACCGCTCGCCTACTTCATTGGCCAAGCGGTAGCGTCTATCTCGGCCCAGTCATCCATGGGGCTCGGCGCAGCCATCAATGCGTTCTTCTCCACCATCGTCGAGGTTTTCCTCTACTGCGTCGCCCTCCGGCAGGGCAAGGCCCGGCTCGTCGAGGGCAGCATTGTCGGCAGCATCTTTGCCGGTGTCCTCTTCCTGCCAGGCCTGTCCATGTGTTTCGGCGCCATCAAACGCAAGACCCAACGCTTTAACTCGAGGTCGGCCGGCGTGACTTCGACCATGCTGCTTTTTGCAGTCATTGGTGCCTTTGGGCCGACTCTCTTCTACCAGATCTATGGCACCCACGAGCTGACTTGCCAAGACTGTGTCAACTTTGACACGCCCAACGACGGCGGGGGGGCTTTGCGTGACTGTCGCCGCTGCTATTTCTCCCAGACGCCTGCGCTCAGCGACCGCTTCTACATCGAAGCGGTGCGTCCTTACTGTTATCTCGCCGCCACCATGCTGTTCATGTCTTACATCATCGGACTCTGGTTCACGCTCCGCACGCATGCGGCTGTCATCTGGAACACTGAGGTAGAGGAGAAGAAGCACGACGACCACGCCACCCCTCACGCCACCCCCCGACCACTGGGCAACCCACCGGCTGGCGAAGCCAGCGGCGTCGACATTCGAGACTCGCATCTGTACAAGCGCATACTTGGCCAGTCCCTCCGACAAGTTGGGCAATACTCGCGACCCGACGAGGAGACACGGCAGAACACACCTCTCTCCGGGGCCGGAGCCAACGGCACCCCTCACCTGGTTCCGCCAAAGCCCAGCAGCTACGGTGCTACTGACACCGCTTGCGCCACTATCAACATCCCCGGGCTGACGGACGCCGAGAACAGCAATCTCGTTCATCAAGTGGCTGAGATTGCGGCGACCGCTGCGACCGTCGCCGCCAGAAACGTGCAGAGCGCCAGGCGAGGGCCACCAGGCACCATCTCGACGGCCGCCAACCCGCCCGCTTCGGCGAGCCACCCGGGGCCGGTGCGCAGCGCCGCCATCGTGCCGGGCCAGGACGACGCCACAGGGCCAGCGGGCGCGCAGGCAGACGGCCACGGCGGCCACGATGCGCCAAACTGGAGCCGGCTCAAGAGCTCGGTCATTTTAATGGGCGCCACTGTGCTTTACGCTATCATTGCCGAGATCCTTGTTGACACAGTCGACGTGGTGCTCGAGAGCTTCGACATTGACGAGAAGTTTCTCGGCATCACCCTTTTTGCACTAGTTCCCAACACGACCGAGTTCCTAAACGCCATCTCGTTCGCTATGAACGGCAACATTGCACTTTCCATGGAAATTGGTTCCGCCTATGCTCTGCAGGTGTGTCTCCTGCAGGTTCCCGCCCTGGTGCTTTTCTCGGCTGTCAACCCACTCGGAGTCCCTGCCGAGGACGTGGCCCGCTACACTTTCAGCCTGCTCTTCCCCCAGTGGGACATGGTGACAGTCATCCTGTGCGTATTCTTGCTGAGCTACATGTACGGCGAGGGCAAGAGCAACTATTTCAAGGGGAGCATTCTCCTCCTCAGCTACCTGGTCGTCATTATCGGCTTCTATTTGAGCAGCTTTGAAACTAGTCTGGAAGACCCCGGCAATGGCGTGAGCCGGTTCGACACACTGAAGGCGGATGGCCAATGGATGAGTTACAACTTCAAGACGGTTGGGAGAAGTACTTCTGGGGCCGCCTTTTGATAAACCCGACAGGCGTTGGCGGTTGGCAAATGGCTTCACTCGGTTCCCGGTTGCGGGTATGCCGGAGGCCCAATATTGCCGGGGATTATGGGGGTACGAGTGTCTGGTTTGCACGAACACACGAGTGACTCTGAGTGACTCTTGGTTGCGGGCGCAGCCCCGTCTGCAAATTGCTCTCGTTTACTGGGTAGGCATGGTCTGGATTTGGGTGGGTGGGCGGGGGCTGGTGCGATCAAGGATGTGTATGAATGTATGTAATTTATCGTCCAGCTTTCTAGAACGAACATCGAAGACCGAGGGACAGGTTACGTGCGACGGATCTTCCCCCGACCTTCGCCATGACTGGTGGAAAATCGACCATCTCGTTATTGACCGTCTGTACCTCAAACCCAGCCCGGCGTCTCTTCTCGCCCCAAGATCGACGTCCAGCCATCCCGCTCGCGGCTGGTGGCGGCGGAGAGGATTTAGGCAGAATCGAACAACATTCTTCTGGAAGCACGGGGTCAGCGTCGCCGGACGCCGATCTTTCTGGGTCTGCCCAAGCACGTGGCATCCGCCCAAGAATATCGACGAGAGGGCGGCATGATTGTGTTGCATTTTATTTTTGTGAATGGCACGCGCCGGCCAGAACAGGGGCGAGCCAGGGGACACTCCTGCTGCGGGATGTTATTAAAGAGCGACCTGGGGCACAACCTTGTCGCTGACACGGCTTGGCCTTTCCCGGCAGAAGTTCTGGGTACCGGCTACAGGTCGTCCGTGGAACTGGGTATTGGCCGCTTCTATTCGGAGCCGGCGCACTGAGGGCGTCTACGCACGTGGGGTTTGTGTTTCAAAAAGATGCCAAACATCAAGGTGGGCGTGAAGGCAGGGCAGTTTGGTGGTCGTGTAACTATGTGTGTGTATGGATTCCGTTGGGCTTCGCTCGGTTTGCCCGGTTTTGGTTCAAAGGGGCAATGCAGAACCCGAAAGGCTCAGACTCGTCAACGTGGCGCAGATAAAACCAGAATCTGTTGAGAACGAGTGTTCTTGACGATGGAACGGGTACAGACGAGGCTTTGGTCAAGTACAATTTGGTTCTGATGCTGAAAACGGACATGATACTCAAGGGGGTGAAAACTATGGCTCGAGTACAATGGTGGAACAAGAATAATAAGTCAACCGGTAAAGCCGCCTGCTGTCCAAAGGAAACCAAATCGCTCCCCGGGAGTCCTGGAAGAAAACCGGCTAGACGGGACGGTTGGAAGACTGCCGGCCAGTCGGGGCAGCGTATCATGCCATGACGCAGGGGCAATGCTACCCGAGTCGAGTTCTGGTGCCGGCTTAGGCCTTCAGGGCCACGTCGCCCATAGGCATGGCCTTGAGCCCTATTGAGACTAGTTAGTACCAGGATCCTCTTGCGTCGGGGGGGCGAGCTGGGAAAACCTACAGCCGTCGACTTCCTCGGGTGCTTGTTGCTTGATGGTGCAGGCGTTGTACTGCTCGGGCGTCTGGGCGGTGAGGCCGGCAGCAGGGCAAGCGTTGTTGAGGTTGCAGCCGCTGTCCATGGCGCGCTGGAGAGTGTCGCCCTCCCAGCCAAAGACGTAGTCACCGTGGGCGGCAGAGCCACTGGCTAAAGTTAGCTTTTTCTTCCCATGTTCATAATGCCCAGGGGCGAAGCTCACCCAAGGTTCATGCTGTACATGAGGGCATCGCCAGAGTCGGGCCAGATGCTCTGGTCGGAGAACTTGCTAACATCCCACATGACCTCGTACATGACCTGGGGCAGCTTGACGGGATGGGTGGACGGGCAGGCACCGCCACCGGTGGCACCGGCACCTTGGCCATAGGCGACGTGAGACTTGTGATCGGGCGTGTCGAGATTCTTGCCGTCCCAGCATCTGTTCGTGATCCTTTGTCAGCTTTTACACGGCCCAAGAAAGGGAAGGAGAGGAAAAGGGGGGGTGGGATGGCGTACGTCGGGAAGATGATGGTCTGGCGGATCATCTTGCAGCGGGTTTCTTGGGGAATCGCGACGGTATCGCTGCCGCTGCAAGGGGCGCCACCAACAAATGGGGTATCGCTTGTCGACGTCCAGCAGCGGTGGCAGATGTTGCCGCTGGAAACCTTGCTGTCGTCGGTGTTGGCAGCGTTGCCCGCGAGCATGCGGAAACCCTAGGGGGAAGAAGGTTAGTCACTGGTTTCACATCCACCCTTCCCTGTAATAAATGTACTCACGGGCTTGAAGGCAGTGGTTTTACCACTGGGAATGTAGTAGACATCGAGACCGCCGTTGTTGATAAGCTTGCCCTGGGGACCGCCGTTGCCGACCTGGGGTACGCGGTGGTAGGTGCCGTTCTTTGCCTTGAAGAACATGACGGCGGTCCAGTAGTTGGACTTGTCCTGGTTGAAGCTGCAAGATGTGCACGTCGATCGCTCGGCTAGGTCATATTCAACGGGCGTCATGGTCAGGTTGAAGGAGTTGCCGCCAACGATCTGGTGGAGATGGGGAGTGTAACGGAGACCAGGGTTGACCAGGGGGTCGACACGGTCGACAACGAGCTGGGAGCAGGCGAACCGCAGCATGTTGAACTGTGCAACGGCGCCGTTGGCCAGCAGCGCCGCCGCGGCAAGGGGAGCCCACTGATGCATCTTCTTGAGTTTTCCCCGAATCTTAATCTTCTTGGTGTGTCACGAGCTCGTTCGCCGACTCCTGGGATGGGACGCGCTGGGATGTTTTAGGACAAGCTGTTCCTCGCGGTAGAGAACTGAGGGGAGGGAAAGTTGCACAGAGTCCGGTGGGGGGACGAGGGCTTTAAGAAGGGCGAAGAGAAGAATAGACAGACTCGATGATGTCGCGCTGGGACACTTATACTACTACATGTCGGTCTCGCCCCATCCGTTCCCCTCCCCCAGTTCATTCTCTGATTCCACTCGCAGTCCCATGGATAGCGATGACCCGGTCGAGCCAAGTGCAGGGTGTTTACGCGCCCCGGCAACCAGCAACTGCCGATGCTACGGAACAAGTTCGAAGGTCTTCTGTCATTTGGGTATAATATCAACGATTGGTGTTGAGCGTGCCCCAGCCGTTATTGGACGACCCCCTGCTGCATCTGTGACAATTGCCGGAGTTCCGGATGCGGCAGGCTGGTTGGCAGCTTGCCCTGGCACATACCAATAAGGTACACGCTGCCCTATTGAGCACCCCGGGTAAAAGGAGCGCCATCCCACCCCAGACTCCCAATATCCTTATTATTGCCCAAGGTCACACCCCTCGTCCGCCGCCTGTCTCGCCCCCAGTCGCGCACATGGTTCATTAATGAAAACCCCAGCGGCAAAGCCCGGCCAAGTGACGTCTACGCAGCAGGCAAGCGCCGAGCCAGCTATTCATGGCCTTTTAGGACGCGGGGAGGTGGAGGGGGGTGGGGGGCTTGTCAGCTGTGAAGAGGCCTGGCTGAAAAAGTCTGGGGTGGCCGAAGTTTGCGGAGGAACGGGGTTGCTCTGCATGGGTTCGGGGACGGCGGAATACCCAAACACGTCCGCTGTCATCTACGCGTGTCCTTACTGTTGGTTGACTGGCGGTGGCTTCGGCCCTTTCCAGGATATGGCCCATCAGCCAAGGCAGCTCTCGTGTCGGCAGACTGCCTCGCGGTAAAGCGTTGTGGCGGCCGCCAACTGTGAGTCGACTGTCCCACCAGCAACCATGCGTGAAATTCGGAGACATGCTCACGCAGATGCCGAGGGGCCAGTCTGAGTGGATTCCCACCACATGGCATTGGTGGTCTGCTACGGGGGGGTGTGCAGGGTTGGGTAGCAAGATCATCTGGCGATGGACAGAAGGCAGGCGTGGGGGACTGGTTTCCATGTGCCATGCTATCACAGCTCGGTTGGTTGACTTGATTCTGGGAAAGCCCCCTCCTTCTTTCCCCTTCACCATGATCGCATCATCTATGCTCGGTAAACCTTCACTTGGGCTAGTTAATCGCTGACATTGCCAGATTCCTCGGTGGAATATCTGCCGATTGCGGGCTGTGCCGGCATTGTAAATTCGCGGCAGAGAATAGATGAACGAGACCCCGGGAGACTCCTTCTTTAGTGGCGTTTCCGAATAATACACCACGTTCGGGCTCACTTGACACTTGTCGTGTTGACCGCAGACAGAACGTGCCGCCGAGATCAGCGCTGGCTCCTCCTCCTACATACGCTCTCCGGGTTAGCCCAATATGCGACTAGTAGTCATGGTTGGAAATCAAGTGTTCGGACTTGGGAACGGTGCCCGGCAGATGTTCCTGGGCTCCCAAAATCTGCGTAGCGACCGGGTTTCATCTATCCATATCGCGATGTCTTCTTCGCCACTTCTACTTTACGTCGGGCTTGGCCATGGACCGTGACCAGCCGAAGGCACACGCTTTAATCCCCTTGGGAACTTGGCTGCAGCCTGCAAAACGCCGGTGTGGTGAAGTCGAGAGCGGGGGAATGTTGGGTCTAGGGGGTGTGACGGGTTCCTCGTCTTGGCTAATTGTTCGTTGATGGGAAGTTCATATGTAGGTAGCCTCGTCCTCTCTCTCCCTCTCTCGGAAGCATGTTCCTGTCTGAAGCCTAGGGACCGTCCCATACTCCCATTCAAACATTTGAGAACGGAGCCAGTGACCTTATTATGGCCGTTTCTCATTCTCTTTACTCCCAATAGTAAGAAAGCGATCATGTAACAACGGAATAGATAAGTACCCTTGACATGTTGGATTTGATCGAGGCGGCATCTTTTACCAGCCCCGAAATACAAAAGCCCCCTCTCAATGCCGACTACCGTTTCGAGCTTGCCTGTATTCGTAAAGCTGCGGTGATTGTCGAGGGCAGAATAACATACAATATTCCCTGCTTTCTCACTATCTAGGTATAGACTTTCTTTTGATGCTTCGAGATGGAGAAAAGCCGGGAATGTGGGAAGGGGCGACGAGACGGGGAGAGACACGATATGGATATGATCAGGACCACCCACATGGGATGGCCGTTCGATTTCTACTGTGTACCGTGTATGCGGCATATTTCTTGCCCGGGTCATGCAATGATGCAAGCCAAGGTACGACTCTGCTTGTCACACTTTAGTGGAGTTTGATCTGTGGAGCAAAAGGGTATGGGGCTGTCGGTATGGGCTCTGTATGGATACGTAGGTACTTGGCGTTAAATTAATTCTAAGGAGGGAGGGAGGAGGAGGCCGCACATGTCTCTCGACGCAAGCTCAGCAACAAGGCAAGGCGGCAGCTCGGTTACCGCCCTTCCAACAGACCAATTTCCATCACTGGTATTGGAGGGAGGTTGATAAACAAATCACCCTTTCTCCGTCGCATCCTGGGGCACTGCTCAAATCCGGCAAACAGGCCCTGAACGGAGCATCTCCGGTACCGGGGACGGACAAGGTGACAAGACCACACCACTTGGTCCATTATCATGGACAGCCCCTACCGCCACGAGCTCGAGGTGGCTATCGCAGTTGCCCAGACAGCTGCCCAAATTAGCCGCGAAGTTCTTGCTGCCGCACAGGCTGATGCTACTCCTGGAACCTTTGATCTAATCAAGGACGACCTGAGCCCGGTCACGGTCGCCGATTTTGCCATCCAGGCTCTTCTCACCCGCACCCTCCGCAACGCTTTTCCAAACGATGGCTTCATAGGCGAGGAATCGGCCGATGAGCTGAGGCAGAACCCGAAGCTAGCATCCCTCGTGCTCGCCATTCTCGCGCAGTGCGCGGGCAACACTGTGTTCCGCGACGCCGACGACCTCTGCGATGTTATTGATTCCTGCACCACTCTCACGCCCGGCCCGGGAAGGATCTGGGTCTTTGACCCCATCGACGGCACCAAGACATTCATCCGCCGTGAGCAGTATGCCATCAACATCGCCCTTCTCGAAACGGGGCGTCAGGTCTTGAGTGTCGTGGCTTGCCCGCTCTTATCGGTGGATGTCACGCCGCCGGTAACCGACGGCTCCGTCGACCCGACCGGGAACGGCTGTGTTCTGTACGCGGTTCGCGGGCACGGAGCTCACATTAGGCCGCTGTTTGGGGACCCTGGCGAGGCGCAACCTCGGAGGCTTCCTCGGCATGCCGATGACGCGACCTCACCTCAGGACCTTCGCTCGGTCACCTGCTGGGCACTGCTCGACTCCGGCGTCGATGTGGTGCACAAGGGGGTAGCCGAGCTGCTTCGTGTACCGTTTCCGGGCAACGACCTGCTGGGCTGGGTCCCCAGATGGGCCACCCTGGCGGTCGGCGCTGCCAACATGACCGTCTGGGTGTACAGGAAGAGGGACCGGTACGCCAAGATATGGGATCACGCCGGCGCCATGTTGCTATTTGAGGAAGTCGGAGGTATGATCACGGATGTGCACGGCAAAGAAATCGACTTGACGGCGGGGAGAAAGCTCAAGGCCAACTTTGGCTTCGTCGCGGCCCCGAGGAGCCTACACCACATTGTGCTGCAGGCGGTGCACGATACCCTCAAGACGTCTGGGAAAGAAGAGCTCCTCCAATAGCTGGTGATAATCGCACACGATGGCGGGGATGCGTATTTTATCGCAAACCAAGTTGGTCAGCCCGATGTTCCATGGACAGAAGAAGTACATGCTCGCCAGCAGCATCAAGAGAAATGCCTTTCTATTAACTAACGGCTTGATCACACCCACTTCCTTGCTTTGAACATCAGCCCACCATCTTAGCAGAGCACGACCGGGGAAAGAGATTTATCAACCGCCAACGGTAGAGTAGAAATGATAGACGAGTACAGAAACGACACTTCGGGACGGCACCACCAAACACCATCGGCTTATGGAAGACACCAAAGAGCGTATTTCAATGAAGCGGCATCCATGTCCAAAACTAAACAAAGTAGTCGAAAAGCAAATATATTATAAAGTACGAGTGCGGTCCGGAGACGGCGGCGCAGAACAAGCCATCCAAATGCAATCAATCATATGGTGGGTCGACCAAGACAAAAAACTTTTGTATTTTCTTCCGAGAGGTGCTCCTTCACCACTCCAACCCCCCGACTGCTGCGTTCAACGCACGACCCAAACACTGCGGGTGCGTCTCATGCAGAAACGGAAGGACCGAAGATGGCGCGTGGGTGGGTGATATTAATGGTTTTCTTCATTGCCGTTGCGTCTTTTACTCCCCAGAGGCGGGATGGCAAGTGTGGTAGAGCCCGCCGAGAGGAGGTTGTCATAGCCATCTAGGACGTGACATCGTAACACCGTAACATTCATAAAGCCTGGCGGGTTGCTGGCAAAATCTACCGGTTTTCGCCGCTCAATGGACCGGCCTTGGTCGGGTCGGGGACGGATCAAGGTGGCGAGGGCGGCGGCCATTCAATCGTGGTCGTGCCGGTTTTCCAATGGTAGACAGAAGCGTTTGCCGAATCAAAACCGGGCTGTTGCAGTAGATGGTTGCCCATGCGAGGTGTAGAAAGTATGTGGATACCCAATTCTTCATCTCCATCCGTGTGTTTGGTTGGTACCTCGTCGTCATCATCGAAGGTGTATAATACGGCTCGGGGGGAACGGCCGACACACAGTCCGTTAAACAGAGGCCAAAAAGATGTACCGAGGACGATGAAGCCCTGATCGTTCAAGTTCATATCTCTGAACCCGCAGGGAAACAGCGCCCCGACCCAGGAGGAAAACGGGCCTGGAGTAGGTAGGAAAAAGCGCCGATGGCTTTGGGAAACAGCAAGAAAAAAGATATTACAATGTTTTGTATGGTTTGGGATTGGAGAACGCGCGGTGGCCGGCTGACGTTGGGCTTGACCAACTGCCACCCGACTGCGTCTGAGACAACGTCGGAGCACCTTTAGCGGGTGGTTTCGGTCGGGGGGAGCCATATATCCACCAAGAGGACACGAACGAACGGAGGCGGACAAGACCGTACGGCGTTAAGGGGCCAGAAGCATCGCGGACCTTGGCTCTTGCGGATGCAAACCTCGTCTTCGCCAAAGCTTCCTGTCGCTGCTGCCGGGTGGAGCACGGCGGGGATCCACACTACTGGAACCTTGACGCCGAGGAGGATGTCGTGCGAACTCCGTTGTCGGACGAGTCTAGACGCACTGATTAGTATGTGGGTTTCTGTAGGCCGACTTGTCTAAGTGGTCACTTACCGCTGCTCCGCTGGATGTGGCCATTGGTCCGGCCTCGTCCCCCAAAACCAATCTTCTCGCCCCAGTCGCCGCTGGGCCCGTGAGGCTGGCGCTCGGGCACGCTCCGGGTGCTGGTTCCGTTTAGGCCAGGGCGCTGGCTTCCGATGGCGCCGGGGGTCTCCCTAGGTCGAAGCCGGTTGCCATTGAATGACTCGTTTAGATTCAGGGACCCCAACTCGCCAATCAACATGGAGGGGTCGTTATTTGACGCAGCGCCCGGCGTCGTCGGCGTCGTCAGGGCGCTGGGCTGGCCGAGACTGGCACTGTACTCGCCATACTGAGCCACGTTCGTCGCATGGGCGACGCTCCCTTGGGGATATCCGGACGCGGTCGACAGGGACGGGCTCGGCGTGTAGGACCGGAGGTCGGCAAACGATTTGACACCGCGCAGCGCATTCAGACCACCATCCGGGCTGTCGGGAAGTTCTAGGGTTGGGCCATGGCGACCCTGTCTGCCTAGAGTATTGTACTGGCCGGGTACGTTGCCGCGCGTCTCGGCAAAGTCAATCGTGGCGGCGCGGCTCAGGCCCCGGCGGTGGGCATCGGCAGAGACCCCCGGAGGCATGTGGATGGCTGGCGCGGCTCCAGTGTCCTTGATAACATGGATTTGCCTGTGTTGTCCCTCGCCCACCGACCGGTGTTCGAGACCCATGTTGTGTGCCAGAATGTGGACAGTGCGCCGTTGCTGGGGGGTGATGGTGCTGGGGAAAACAATGATCTCCCGGCTCGGATCGCTCTTGAAGAGCATCAACTCGGTGTAGAAGCTCAGTGTGTCTGGGTTGTTAAGGTCCACATCCCCAGGACCCGCATGGGGGTTCGGGGCCGCGCTTCTCGCGGGAGCCTCTGCAGGAGACTTGCGCAACGGCGAGTTCCGAGTTCGCGAAGTGTGTGCGGCATTCAGCGAATGCATCGAAGATTGCGAATGGAGAGTTATGGGCTGGTGCTGCTCCTCGAGTTGACCGCGTTTCTCCCGCTTCTCCCGCTCAATCCTCTCTCTTTCGTGCTCGGGCAGCATCTTTTTGTACTCGACCCTCAGCTTCCTGCCCTGGACCTCGTAGCCGTTCAACTGCTCGATAACAGTCTGCGTGTCGACCGGGTTCTGAAAATTAGCGAAGGCGAGGCCACGGAAGATGCCGTTGTCGAAATGGTAGTTGAATGCGTACGGCTGTGGCAGCCCTAGTTCGGACATGATGGTCGTAAGCATCTCCTTTCTCACGTTGAAGGGGATGTTTTTGATAACGATGGCGGTCGGGATCAGGTCGTTGCCCAACGCCTTGGGCTCATGGCGAGGGTCGTACATGTTGGTCGGGTAACCGTGCCGCTCGCTCGGGAAAGCTCCGTCGCCGTTCATGATGTTCATGGCTGGGTTGAAGCTACCGACTGCAGGATACTGAGCAGAAGGGACGGGGGGAGGGGGCTGGCTTCCGAGGCCGGGCTGTTCGGGCATGGTCCACTCCTGTATGCGCAGACGTCAGCAAGCGGCTCATCTGCAGGGTCACGGGGAGCTCGGGGGCGCAACACGTGGGAGGCTAACCTGGGGGATTGCCCGCCGGGCGCCTGAACGAAGCCTTCCATCGCCCAGCGCTCCGGTCACGGTGCTTGCACCGGAGTTGTACGCCCAAGCCTGAGCATTGCCCATGAAGTTGTCGGCCACAAAGCCTGGGGAGGGTTGCATTCTGTTGTGCCTGAAGGCGTTGCCATCGTACGAACCGAAGCGATCATCGGCGGTAAAAAGGGCCGTGGGTGGTTGGCCGGCAGGGTCCATTTGCCGCTGGTCCAAACGGTTGAGGCCGGGATGACCGGTGGTGGTGTTGTAGCCCGGCCTCGAAGAGCGGGGGGACCGGTTTGCGGCACTCATCGCGTATGCCGGAAAGTAGAGATCGGGCTGTTGGTTCATATTTGGGGGCTAACTGGAGTTCGAGGCAGCTGGCATCGAGGTCCAGTGAACCAGGACAAGGCCGGGGGCGGACTCGTCTTCGCCGAGAGGGCGGATTGAAGCTTCTGGGAGACGGAAGGCCGGCTGCTCCAGGTTGAGATCAAAGTGACCGTCTCTGAATCCGAAGTCGAGTGTCGGCTGCCCCCTCTCGACGCGGGAAGCCGAAGTGCAGATTCTTCGAGTGGAGAGGCGCGTGGTTTTTCGATGATGCAGAAAGTCCGGGCTGCAGACGTCGATGGAGAAAAAAAAAAGGGACGAACAACAAAAACTCTCCACAGTACAGCGCTAGGGGGGTCTCCCAGGGGGTGCGGAGACAGGGAAAGCGGACGCTGAGCAGGTGCGTATCAAATGTTCCTAGGTCATCACGTCGTCCGCAGCTTCATGGATGTCGTGAGGTGGTGTAAAGGCCCCCGAAGTCCAGATGGTTGGAGGGTTGGAGATTTGATTTGGTTTGGGAGAGGATGGATTGGAGGCGATGCGGCGCTGAGAAAGTGAACTGGCAGGTGCGCCTGCTTGCCCGAACCCGTCGAGCTGAAGCGGGAGGCGGTCTGGTGCTAGCGACGTCTTTTTTTGTGCGAGATCCACCCACTGTTGAGTCCTCGCCCACAGCCGGGGCAGCGGGGAACAGGGGGGAATGGTGCCGCTCCCTCGGTGTGGAACACCCGAGTTTTTGCTCGAAGGTTAAAAAGGGGAACCCCCCCCTAAGGAGGTTGCGGTGGCAACATGGTATTCATAATATCAACACGGTAGACACTAACTACCAAGTACCTAGATACTTGAGCCGGGCAACGATGCTGCATGCAAGAAAGACCCTGTTTTGTTCGATATTCATGTTGCGTGCGTCCGGTCTCCATCTGCTGCTTGCGTCGGCATGGCGAGCGCCCTAAAAAAAGGGCAAACGTGGATGCGCTTGCGGGAGGAGACCCGACACCCGTCAGTTGCCCCACCAGCGCTAACTCGTTTGTTCAGACGAAGCCAGGTCAGGCCGCCTGAATGTTTTTATTGGGCTGCGGCTTTCACCGCGCCAACCAGGGGCCCAGCAGCGCAGGCAGGCTGCCAGGCACAAACGGTGAGGATTGGATGACATCAAATATCAAGCCTGCATACGAAAAAAACGGATCTTTATTTATGTACGAAGTACAAGTACGTGTACTTGTACAGATTACACCATAACACATGACAGCGGCGAGGCTGACAGCGAGCAGGGGGCTGCACTCGTCAGTGAGGTGACTCTGGATTGCAATCGGGCAGTGAATGAGCGGCCCACACGGTTTAGTTATGCCAAGATCAACTGGGACCCGACAGTTGGAGAACTTCGATTGAATGGAAAGAAGCAACGGCCGACGAAGCCGATCATCATCAACATCATTTTCACCCCTGACTCAACGAGCCATGGCACGGGCCGTCGACGGAGCGCTGCAAGGACGCCTCTTGATAACTACGGCCTGACGGAGACTCAACCTGAATACTCCGACGGATCACGACTATCCGTTACGTTGTCGATGAGTGCACGGTCTTTGCCGTTGTGGTTCCACATTGCCATTGATTCATAGGTAGTTGGTTAGCCGCGAAAGTAAGGAAGTCGAGGTAGGTAACCACTTAGCTGCCTCCTGACAGTACATGTAGTTGCAAGGCGGGCCAGTGGCATTCAACTCCGAATCACCTGCTACCTTCTCGACCCGTGTTCATGTGTCTGAGCATGGAGATCACGCAGGCTTCCATTGTCACCGGCTATGCTGTGGTTGAAGCCCCTTTATTAGCCGTTTCCTTGCCGGGATAAAGGACTTTGTTTTGATCGGAAGTAGTAGGTAGCCAGACTTCGGGGGCCCGCTTTGTGAGTATCTCCGCGCACCCGAGGGGCTTCTTCGGTAACAAAGACACGAACAATGGGCTTGGCTAGGAACGAAGACAAGGGCAATGTCTGTTACCCGGAAGCTAAAGCTGGCCGTGTGTATTGGCCGGGGATAAAACCAAACGCCTCCCGAGTTGTGTGTTACAAGCCCGAAGTGAGGTAGACCGCGATCCTTATTATTCATTTTCATTCTAGCTTAGGTAGGTACCTTACCTCTCTTTCCCTCGATTCGACCCACTGGCTCCGAGTTTCTAGGGACTCACAACGCTGACATACCTACCTAGGTAGGCGCCGAATCGATGCTAGAAAACACATCACCAAAGGCTGACCCCCAGGGCGGTACAGCTAGCCGGTTAGCTATGCTTGCGGAACTAGCGACTGCAGTGGCTAATGCTACAGAATACCACAACACACTGTCGCCACAACGCCTTACACATTCGACAACCCCGAGAAGTCTGCCGAAGGGCCCCGAGCCTTTACGGGCTGCGGGTTTAACACCGCTACCGCTGCCCCTGCCGCCGGCGCCCTCCACCCCTTACCCATGGACCTGGAGATGTCACGGGTGCGATTCCGAGTATCCCCTGGCCGTGACCCGGCGATGCTTGTACTGTAGTCACCGCTTTTGTACAGCACCCCAAACGAACGCACGCATAAAACGAGGGGTCCCCGGGGAGAGGGATAGTTGTGATGCCGAGTTTGATTACTACGGCTGGGCTGCGTGGGGTGCATATCGTCGGTCTGTTGCTGCCAGTCGAATACTGAGGAACGGCGTCATTACCGCTGTGGACTCAAGTTGTGAACAAACGAAGGGGTCCCTGAAGCGGAAACGAGGCTGTGATATAGGGGCTACGGATCATGATACCTTTGCCAAGTTCGAGCTAACCACGGACGACTACAGGCAGTACGAGAGTGATACCCGGAGATCCGTGTGGCGGCCGCTGTCGAGGCTCGCCCAGCAGGGGGCGCATCGCCGCAAGGAGAAAATGTACGTCTCTGGACAGTACAGCTGCTGGCTGCATTGTGACTACCCTACCGAGTGCGTTCGCAGTCTCTACAGGGCCTGGGCTGAGGGTAGGGCTCGCTCTTCTGGGGGGGACCATTCATTCGACGGCCGGTCCGACGAAAAACAGGAATCCAGTAGGAGGCAAAGGGGAAAAGCAAGTCGAGCCGAGGAAGGAGGAAGTAATAAGAAGAGGAAGAAGGATGTGGCACACCCCGAACCTTCTCACGGAACGAGAAGGGGCAGTATGCTTCGGGAGAGCATGGAAGGGGACAGGTAGATCCGGGGAAAAAGAGAGAACATCTGACCCCCAAAACTCGTATTGACTAGCAGGAGGCCGAAACGAATCTCGGGAGGCTGAGTTGAGTAACAATATGGACATAGGTCCCAAAAGGCTCATCCTCGATAGCAACGGCGCAGGCGAACGCAGACGGCTCTAGCTTTCACGTTTGATACTGTACGAATAACTGCCAAGTAACGTAATGAAGAAAGTAATTGTGCTCTGTCTGTTCTTCTCGGATCCCATTGTCCTGTCTTGCTTCGTGAGCAGCTGTGCGGTTCCCAACGCCCCGCTAGAGGTCAAGGTTTGTGCCTCCCGGGGCCAGGTCATGCGGGTGCCCGAGGCATCAAACCGGCACCCATGGGCGTCATATAAGCCCAGGAAAGGACAAGACTGTTGGTACAGATATCAGAGCCCCCAACAGCAGGTAGGGGGGAGAGCCCACGGCCAAAATCGTCGACGCTCTTGCTCTCTCGCACGAATTCCATCCCAGACCAACGCCGGCCATTGCTTCCCGGAACCCCCTCATCTGCTCTGATATGATATCGCGGGCATCATTGAAGTGCCCAATCGCGCATAGCTAGCCCCGGACGGCCAGGCCTAACCTAGCACAGGTCGCGGCATGAAAGGAAATTAGGGGCCGAATGGTGGGAAGACCCGATGTTGTAAACAAACAGAAAAACGATTGCCAAACCGTCCAGCCAAACCAAACCGTGCTGCCAAAAATGGCGACCAAGAGATGTCTTCCTCCTGTCAAAAACTCCGTGCCAATCATCTCAATCGCTTATGCCTCCAGCGCCTTGGCCTTCTTCTTCTGCTCGACCTTGAGGAGAAGGGCGCGATTGATGTGGGGAAGGACACCTCCGAAAGCGATGGTGGCGCGGATGAGGGTGTCCAGCTCTTCGTCGCCACGGATGGCAAGCTGGAGATGGCGGGGAGTGATGCGCTTGACCTTGAGGTCCTTGGCGGCGTTCTGTGGTAGGGCATAGTGTTAGCAAAAGGCGAGAATGGAGCGGGAGGAGGAGCAGCGCGAAAACAAGACCTACCCCGGCAAGTTCAAGCACTTCGGCGGTCAGATACTCCAACACAGCAGTAACATAGACGGCGGCCTTGGCGCCGACGCGCATTTTGTTTTGCGTGTTTTGCTTGAGGAAACGCTTGACACGGCCGCAAGGGAACTGGAATGGAACGGGTTAGCAACGATCCAGGAACAAAGAAAGGCTGCGTGCGCAATGCGCCGGCGACCGTGCGGGGCTTATCGGTGGCACTCGTCGTCGCATAGTGTTTGGGGGCGGCTGGCTGCATGTTGCGCATAGATGGCAACGGCGCGACATAACACGATGGGAAGTCGTCGTAGAAACACTCGGTCGCCCCGGGGGGTGGAGGGAGACGCGCGGTGGTGGGGGGGGGGTTGCAACTCTTTGACAATAACCTCCTCGTGTGCACCGACAGTGCGCCGGCACCAAGCGCAGGGAGAATGCAAGATTCGACAGCGACGGGACATACCTGCAGACCGGCGCGGGCCGAATGACTTTGCTGCTTCTTCGCGCTGTCGACTCCGGACGTCTTGCCGCCGGAGCTCTTGCCACCAGAGGACTTGCCCTTACCACCGGCCATTGTTGTTGATATGCACGTGGATGGTGCGCGGGGTGGCTGGGTTTAAAAGTCGGAAACGATGCTTTTGTAAAATATCTTGCGTGATGCGCGGATCCGATGTTGATGACGCGACGTCGGGGGTTTCGCGTTGATGTGGTGGAGTTTGTAAATGGTTGAGGATGGTTCGGGTCGCGGTGGTGGTTGGTGTTGACGAGGCAAAAATTCAAAAGGCCGATGGCTTGCTGATGTTGTTCAAGGTCAAGGTCGCTGTTGCGCGGCAGAGCCAGAGCTCGAGGGTACCTCTGCTGCGGAGCAAGCTCTGTTAGCTTGGCGCCCCACCCTGAAGTGTCGTACGGTGGGCGGCAGCGCCCAGGAACGCAGTTCCGGGCACTCTTCGGTCAGGCGCAGCCCAGCAGCAGCCTGCGTGTGTATAACACGAAGAGCGGGCATCTTCCAAAATCCTACTACCAAGCGTTCTGAGTGATGTCTCTTGCCACTCGCTATGATTCCTTTTCCCGTAGAGGCAGCACCGAAGGCGATTGTCCGGATTGCCTTGGCGGCGTCAGGGGAGGGGCCATCGCACAAGGTCGGGCTGTTGCGTTGGTGCGGCCGGTAGAACCGCCCCAGGGCTCAGGGAGGGAAGGGAAATGAGGCTGGCGAGTCATTCAGACGGAATGTGCAGGATTCCATCTTCGCCCGCTCGGAAGAGGCTTTTCCGGCGAGGGATGTTGCGATGGGAATATGCTTCAAAGTTGCTCTTGGGCTAAACCAAGGCGACTCGATGGAAGCTTTGGTCACGCAGTCCGTCAATGCCGCTGGCCAACCCCGCCCAGATGTGGCTCCACCCCAGCTGACAGGTTGTGGCTGCAGTGCCCAGGCCACACTTGCTACAAAATATTGATTGGCTTCAAAGAACCGCCCGGGTTTGGCCAGCGGCGGCCCCGCCGTGGTTGTGGCATTCCAGCTCCCATTGTTGCCTGCGGCTGCCTCCCGGCTTTGGAATTCCCCAGGTTGGGCCCCACATGAGCTCTTGACTTCGCGCACTCGGCTCTTTTCCCTCTGCGACCCACTGGCAGCTGTGATGAACCCGATGAGATGCAAGAGGCGGGTTGCCTAGGGCGCGCCCGACGTTGTCAGTTGTGCAACCGCCTCCCTGGGTTACTTCGTACCTCTGGTTCGTGACGCAACCAACCGTGCGGATTGCTTGAATGCTTTCAATTTAGCGCTCCCGAATTTCAATCTGAGCCAATGATGCCCCTGATTTCCATGGCGTTGGAACCAACATCGGCTGCAAGGCCGAACAGCGCCGCCGCCTTGCAGAGACTCTCGAGTTGCAGCCACCGCAGCCAATAGTCTGATGCTTTGATTTGAGGCTGGGTCAAAGGGGCGTCCCCGCTGAAACGGTCGGCGGCAGCCTGCCAACGCCCTTGTTGCCCTTGTTGTTGCTCCCTCCACAGCCTTCGGCCTGTTGGTGAGGGGGGTTGGCCGCTTGCGTCCCGACTGGTCCGCGCACTGGTCTTGCTACGGCACTGGTAGTTATATCGGACCAAATTCACGACAGGTGGTTCGCAGATCCGGCGACCTCGCAGTCTTCAGACGATATTGCTGGCGGAACTTGTGGACCACCGACCGGGCACTTTGTGGACCAAACGACCGACCAGCCAGGATTTCTCCTCGCGCTCTCGAAAACCGCGTCGATGGAGCGCCCCTCTGGAACGCCCTCGCCTTCGGCCGGACACCGGACGGCCTCGGCGGTGCAAGATCAGGGTGAGAGCGTTGAAAGTTCTGCAACGGAAGAGCCTCAACTAGCGCCCAAGCATTTCGCATCCCAGGGGACCGGGCCCTTTGTGAGGCGAGACAAGGACATAATCGAGGATGCTCGACTTGAGAGACGGGATACCGCTGAGAGTTCCCTCTCCGACTTTTGCCCGCAGCGAAGCAATACCGACTGGTCCATCGCGGGGTCTACAGCCACCGACTTGACTGATCTCAACAGCCCCGACGTCGCCTTCGCTGACGAAGGCTCCAACATCGAAGCGGAGATTTACGCGTCGTCACCACGGCGTAGCGGCTTGTTCCCTCGTCCAATAGCCTTGCAGAAACGGCCAGCAATTCGTGTCCCGGCCGTTTCCTCCGAGGCAGATAAATCCCGAGCATCACCCTATAGCTCATCGCCCGATGCGTTAACTCTTCGACACCGTCGTCTGGAACAAGTGGCCTCGAGGAAGTCGAGCCTCAGCCAATACACGGTGCCTGGTACATCGGACAAACCGCCTTCTGGTGTGGAATCGAGCTCTTCGGGCGCCCGAGAGACCTGGGCCATCGAGCCTTGGATTACGGCGGACGACGCCATCCCAGAACACGCGGACAGTCATGATGGAGAAAGGACTGGCCCCGGCACGATGGGCGTGACATCTGGCGAGGAGAGTGCGGCACGACAAAACGAAACGGATGCTGATGCCGAAGTGGAGGATGAGGCGGCGACCTCCGGCGAGACCACCCCGAGCAAGAGCGTGCGCGAAGAAGCTGAAGCGCCAGCAGACGCTGTTACTCCCGGGCCTCGTGTGCGGCGCAGCTCAATATGTAGCGAGGAATCGGACCGATGCGAGGACCGAAGTGGGCGGTCGACGCCCAAACCACAGGACAACATAATTCACGAGGTTTGCGACTTGGTTCTCCAGCAGGCATTCGGTGTTCAGCTTCACGACGTTGCGCTCGTGGGGACCGCCTCGTCGGTCTATGAATCTGTTAGCTACTGCTTGGACGAGCTCTCCCACATCGTCCTCAACAGCGGTCTTAGCAATACCGGCATAGTCATCGACGAGTCAACGTGGGGTAGAACGAACACTAACGCTGTTCCGATTTGGCCGGCCGGGGGCGTCGCGGATGGGATCGGTTCCGGTGGCGGGGGAGGCGGAGGTCAGGGCAATGGCGGCGGGAGTCGGAAACGGTTCAACGCTGGGGATGACCATGGCGGCGGTGCTGGCGACGGCAGTCCCGGTGGCGGGAAACGGCAGAAGGTTACGCAAGCCCAGCAACCGTTGGCCGATATGCATTTCAGCTGCCCGTTCCGCAAGAGGAATCCGGTCCGTTTCAATGTCCGGGACTTCCAGAATTGTGCTGTCCAGTCATTCCCGGATGTTCCTCAACTCAAGTAAGTGTCGCACCCCTCACCGGGCTTTAGCCCTTATCGGGCCGCCATCTAACTTGGGGTAGGCGCCATGTCAAAAACTTCCATAAGCAGACGGCGGTTTTGCCCTTCACGTGCCCTCGGTGTCGGCGGGCTATGGGGACACAGAAGGCCTTGGATGAACATATTTCTGTCGGCAAGGATCAGATCTGCGACCCCCAGGCGGTGCCGCCCAGTGCGGACCCAGAAGACGGCATCACGCCGGTGATCGAAGAGGCTCTCAATGAACGCAAGGCGGACGGCAAGATTGACGGCTGGACGGGTCTGTGGGGTTGCTTGTTCCCCGGGGATGCTGACATCCCCGAGCCCGGTAATGCAAATTCTACCAGCACCGTTCGCGTCAGAGAGCTAACGGCTTGTGTTTTTAGATTTTGTGCCCCCGACTGAGTTGGATGAAGTGTATGCTCAGCTCAACACGGACTATGCCATGGGTCAGCTGCGGGAACGGATTCAGGAGGGACTGGGAGTGGCTGGAAACGCCGAGACCCTGTTGGATGTTTTCAAGAACCATATCGACTCGGTTTTCGAGGCTTGCCGACTGAATTCTGGTGGGGCGGCCAGCAGTCGCAAACGGTTACGGATACACACGTCGCGACAACAGATGGCAAGTCGGCGGAGCTCGGTACTGCTTACCCCCGGAAGACAGGGCTCAGGACGTTCCGAGAGCACCCTTTCATCACCAGTTGCTACTCCTCACAGTACCAACATGTTTGGAAACATCGACAAACCGTTAATGACGGAGCCACAACCAAACGCGCCATATTTGCCGCCCACCACCCGCGGTTACCCCAGCAGCGGCGTGGATGGCCTCGGGGGAATGATGCTGGGCTTTTTTTCCGGCAACCACACAGGCGGCGGCCAAGCAGGCCAACCTGTTACTGTCCCACCGCCGATGCAGGTCCATTTGGGGTTTGGTAGCCAAGATCAAAACACAGCTGGCACGGTAGGCGGACAGCTCGGACACGGGCAGCGACCCCGGTTGTTACCGACCGACTCGGGGTTGGCGCTCGACACTGCATTCCCGGGCCAGCGGGCAACAAATTTCTCGCCTGTGATGCCGCCCGGGTCACAGAATTCCTATGCTCCCATGGCGTTTGGGCAGCAAATGCATGATCTCTGTTTGCGACCCCTCCCGTCCGGGTTACAGGGGATACAGGGCGTGGAGGGCCAGGTATTCTCGCCGACGGACCAGGGCATGGTCCCGTCCATCACAAATACCACGTATTATAACACGCAGGACCCGGATGACGATGGATATGAGCTGGTTCACCGGAACAGCGAATGGATGTGACGGTCGATGCGTTGATTGCGAGGAGTGACGAAGGACGGGAGGTACCTGAGGTGTCTTCCGTTTAGAACTTGAAAGGGGCCTGTTTTAGTACACGCGTATGTTATTTCCTGTGGAACTTTCATAGTCCTACAACCTACACAGTCTATACACCTAAGGCACCTATTTGTATCGCGCAAGTTATCGGTTGCCCGGTGCTCGCGTGGCCTGCAACCCGACTTGAAGTCACGACGAGCTGCCCGATGGAAGTGGGGTCAAATCGGGTGGGTCCGGGGACCGACCGCCTGAGGCCCGGCCGACCGTTGCCCGAGCGGACCACAGCTGCCTGAACCCCAGAACCCTGTCAGGCCTTGCGGTCCCTCGTGTGTGCGGCTGTTGAGGTTGGCAGCTTTTTTCGTAACCCGACGTCATGGCAACGCATTGATGACCGCGTGAAGAATTTAGTGCCTCTCAAAAGCAACTTCATAAGGCAGCATCCATTGCTGATATTTTTGAGTTGTTGTAATTGGCTCTAACTAACACATTGACTAGACCCGCGAGAAGAGCCGTCACGGTGCAACATTGGGTGGGTGGCGTTTTCCGTCTGCTCTTCTGCAACCGAGCAAACAACCGGAGTGGGCGGCAGCCTGGAAGCAGCCCAAGTTCCTGACCGCCTGCGCCCCGCCTGATTCTTGCAAGTGGCGAGGCCCTCACCATCAGCCGCAGACACCAGGCTAACGATGCGTCCTGTATTCGCGCGACCTGGAAAATTAAATTAGGACTCTAGGACTGGTTGGTGTCCGGTCCTTGGTGACCGCAAAACGGGGTACACGTACATACCTCCTTGCCCACCACATTGTTTGGGGGGGCTTCCCGGCTCCTCATTATCAATCATTATCAATTATCATATTCATTACCTTGTTTTCACCCGCAACCCGACTCCTCTCTTTCAGTGTCGGGCCATAGCGCCTCCTCTCGTCCCTATGATTCCCGTCGCAGAAAAGCCACTGCCGCCGACCGACTCCGTCGGGAATACTCCCGTTTCCGGGACCTCACCGTCGGCCCCGATGCCACCGGAGCCAGCCACCCAAGGTGGCACTTTTATTCACGAGCTCATTGGTCTCTCACCCAGTGGCTTCCGCGAGACGGTCCGGAACTCATTCTCTTCCTTGACTAGGCGGGAAGAATACGGTACCAATGTGACTCCCGCACCACCGCCCGACGCCGGCGTGGTTGCCGAAGTGAGGACCGGTCACCCCCATGCGGGCCAGACCCGGCTACCACCACCACCATCACCACCTCCGGCGCCTGAGCCGTGCCCCCGCCATCTTCTCAATTTGCCGCACGAGATCTGGCTCATGATCCTGGAGCGTCTCGCCTTCGCCGACATCGTGCGCCTGCGCAGGACATGCAAGCGGCTCCGCACCTTGGCCGACCCCAAGCAGATACGCGATCTCTTGGGCCCAGTTAAGCTGCACGCCCAGCTTCTCAGCCACTGCAAGGTCTGCCTGCTGTACGATCCCTTTCGCTCTCACCTTTTGCGGTCAACCCGTGCGGACCCCGGGTATCCCCTGGCCAGCCGTTGCATCACCTGCGCCATGAAGGCCCGCGATCCCCGCGTCCGCGTGGGCAAGATGATCGACTTGGCCAATCTCGACACCGCCCGGGTGTGCCGCTGGTGCGGCACACCCATCATCGATGGGGGCGCCTTTGGATGCGCCGAGATGCATCGATTTTGCTACAAGCGATACAATGATGTTCTCTTCGTCTTCTTCTGGATCGGCTGGACCCAGCTCGGATTGGGAATTGTTGCTGCCGCTCTTGCGTGGAGGTATTACCGGCACGCCATCTTGGTGTTTGCGCCCACCGTGGTCAGTTGCCCGGCTTCCCGCAGCGCGGCCTCGTTTTTTGACGGGGAACGACCAGCTGTGCTAACGTTACGTCTATTGCCAGGCCAGCTTTATTATATTGTGGATTCCCTTAGCCCTGCTCGCTTGCTCCCACACGTGGGGGAAATACCACTACATGTTGGGCTTCGAGCTGGTCATTCTGGGACTCTGGGTTCCCCCCATCTACTACGTTGCTTCCGAGATAGCGACTGCGAGCGGCGGTCCAATCCCAAGCAGCACGCAGGCCAGCCTTGCCATGTTTGCCCTGAATATGTAGGCCGGCTTTATGCCACCCCACCGCCGGTATTTCATCCAGACAACGCTGACAGGCATGCCACAGGGCTTTCCGGCTCATGAACGTTGTCGGGAATCTCGTGATTTTCCTCGCTTTCGATACAACTAAAAGGAACTGGTCCGACATCCCGGTTTGGAAGCGTTTGTTCCACTATCTGGCAACCGCCTTCGTCATGTGGACTTGCCCTCAGTCGTTGGAGCAGATGTTCCCGCCAAACGGAGACTCGGTTCTGATGTGATCATTCCATTGGATGATAGAAACCTACACGCTTGGGCTTCAAGCTCGTATTTTTCGATGACCTTTGCCGCCGAAGTCACCTCACACAACTCTTCAATTCACAGGCCGTCCTGTTTCGGACTAGACGGCTTTTGAGTCACATTGTCACATCAACCATGTTGGTGAGACCCGGTGGCTTGTTTTGGTACCCCATTGTCAAGATAATCACGTTGAATACGAGCTTGAAGCTTGGCCAAGCGAATGAGCTTCATAGGAATCTCTGCTGCCGAGGCCGAGAAAGTCCCAGAAAACTGGTGCGGACAAAACTTTGGCCGCCAAAGGGTAAGCTACGCCAAGGTTTGGACATGCATAAATGGACGAAAGACGATTGAAAATATACGAGACTCACACAGCCTTCTCTGTGTGTAGCCCTCAGTTTCCAAGTATTCACCGGAAGAAACATACCATGAAGTCAATTGTTACAGCCGTGGCCTTTCTGTAGGTATTCTTTTCCTCAATACCTCGACGACACCCCCCGGCGTTCCCTAGCTCTCACGACTAACACTGCGGTCAGGGCCCCCGTTATCCTCGCCCAGTCGAGCTTTCCCGACGACGAGCCGAACACCACAACCCCGACCCCCAGCCTTCCGACAGCCCCTGCCTGTGCGTCGGTGACAGCCACCCGGGAGCTCTGCACGACCTGCGTTGTCCCAGCCTGTCTGGAAGTATCTACTATCACCCAGTCCTGTGGATGCCCAACCCCCGTTCCGACGGTTCACCTTGACTTCCCCTGCGAAGCAGGGTGTGACGGGATCTGGTGCTCGACCAGCTACGCTATCGTCACCATGGACGGTTGTGCCACTGATGGTCCGAGTCCCACGACGGTGTCGGAGCCGATCACGACTACCTTTACCCCCAACGGCACCGTGACCACCGGCGCGCCTACGAGCTCGAGCTCCATTGCTACAAACGCGGCTGGGCGGATGCGAGTGCCGTTCATGTTATGGTAGGGTACTTGCTGGCCTGGGCTCGGCTTCCTTGCCTGAAGCAGGGATATATTATTACGGTAGATCAGATCGTGGGCCGTCACTCATGGGCCTTGAGGGGTCTTGGTCGGAGCGGTTTTGGTAGTAAAGAGGGTTGTGGCTGTAGTTATAACAACAATGTACTCCGTACTACCTGCCATTACAATCGGAATGGGAGACAAACATAGTCGGCCACTGTTCGTCGCCAGCGATGACCCCTAGCTCTTCCTAAAAAAGAAGTAACAAGAAAAAGCAAGAAAAGGAAAGGCCAAGCGTCCCGTAACCCAGAAGTACCGAGTACAAGTCATCAATTTTCCCACCTAGAGAGCCGGGGTCTTCCTCGCTGCATCGCTTGCTCATCTCGACCTCCTTGGGTATCAGGTGTCGCCAGTGGCCGGGCAGCCCACGTTTAGAGGACTAACCCCAAGAGCCGGGATTTCGTAGGTACCTCCGACAACTCGAAAGTTGTCACGAGGGTGGGGGTTTCATCTTCAACTCCTTCGAGTAGGGTCAGTGGTGGTTCGATCTACTACCTACCTATGCAGCCTTTGCCGAAAGCAGTAAACCCGTTTGCAACCATGTGCGGCGAGCACACGCGCCCCTCTTCACGAGCTTTGAGTTCGCTACTGGGGAAGACGTTCCTTATGTACAACCCGAAGTGGCATGTGCGTGTGCTAGTTACCCTGTAATCAATCACCTCCCAATAAGGAGAAAGCTCCGGTGCCGCCAGACGAATCTCCCTTTCTCTAACTGCACCAAGCTACCCAGTTGCTTCACCTCTTTACCTGCTTCATCGCCGTCCATAACCGAACTACCCTAACAGGTAATAAGTCATTCAAAAAGAAAGCCTGTTTGTCTATAATATGCTAACTTGATAATTAGGGAAAGCATCACCACCATGAGCGAACGACTTCCTCTCAAGCTCGAAAACAAGGAGCATTTTGTTTAAGGCAACATCTTCAACTGCAGTCTTAAATTCAATGGCAAAAATGCCTTGGACCTTTCCCACGCTACGGCAATACCGTCGCGCTGGGAGAGGCCATTTATCAGGCAGACAGCCGTTTTGATATGCATTTTGAGAAGAATGACAAGACGGTTCAAGGTCGTACAAAGACTCTCACCGTTGAGTCTAACGACGTGGTTCTTCTGGACAAGCTCTCCGAGACTCACGATAACGTGGAGAATTTGGTCAACCGGGTCAACAATCTTGAGCGATTTATCCCACTGGCCTAGGTTTTGTAGGCTGCGGTTGGCTAGGTGCCCTTCTAGTGGCGAGTTTGGCGACAAGGAGTCGAAGACAGGACAAGTCAACATGTAGCTACATAGCTAAACTTTCGACAGCCGGTGCGATGTTGTTGAATTATCATCAGAATTTACATGCTAGTGTTTACGGCTTGTGCTCCTTTTCGTAGTTTGCATTCTCTCTATTATGACATAACACGACCGTATGGGTAGGCCATGTTGGATAAAGCTCCTATGACTCGTACTGCCTTTGCCATGGCTGTATATGGTTGCGTGTGTGTAAAGAGAGAGGGAGCTGGCCGACCTACTGGGTAGGTAGGTACATCTCTATCTGGGTGTGGAAGATGTGCACAGTTGTCCTTCACACGTGCCAGGCGGTTGGGTTGGTTGGCCTGCCCATCTCCCATAGTTTATGTTTTTGATGGCATTTCTTTTTGCAAAACCCCGGGTCTGCTAGGGCATCCCGTGGTTCTCGCTAACGGCCATACCAGGTTTCCAACGATCTTGGGCGTGTCCACGGCGGCGGCGGAGCCGGTAAGGGGGGCGTCAGCCTGTTGACTAGGTAGCCCAGATACCTCGGTAACCGTGTACTTAATGTGGACGGATGCCACGGTCAGTTCAACAACGGCTATCGTGATGAGATGCGGACCTTGTACATGTTGCGCCCTGACACGGCTCGTGTTTGGCCTTGGTGCGGTAAGTGATTAGAGCCGTCATGCTATCCTCAGTGCAGCTTCTGTCGTTAGATGCAAATCGACTCATAATCCGATACCATGCCGGTTTGTAATCTAGAACACATCGACAAAGTCACTGATGAGGTGACACCAACCAGTGTTCAATATTTACTCCGACAAGCATTATTAATGTTCACGGCTGTAAGCCGGAAAACTCGGAGACTACGAGGCATGCCGCATGGCTGGTAGGCAAGCCAACTTCCGAAGCTCTTCGGGTACAAACTAAGATCCGATGCCACACGGGTAAACTGTAGGTCTGTCGAGTATGTGTGATTTGGCTGGACTAAATGTCTATTTAAGACCGTGCCCTTCATGCTCGCAATGAAGTGTTCTTTGACGACAACCATCCATCGCCGTCTTACCCCAACCGCCTTTACGATAGGTCGCCAACATGTTCGCCATCACCCTCGTCTCCAGCTTGCGGCTTATTCTTGCCGCTTGCTTGTTGTCTTCTCTCTCACAAGCCAGCCTGATCCCGAGCAACCTCCTCGGCGGCCGAGGACTGAGCCCCTATCCGAAACGTACCTTGGGGGGCGTCTCTGTCGTCGATACTCCGATTGTGCGGGCGGCTGAGGCATTCGCTAGACAGAACGGCCAGGACTTCACATACAAACATATCATGCGTTCGTGGCTGTTCGGCGCACTCGTCATCCATCATAACGAAACGCTGCGTGCCACCATCGATCTCGAGGTTCATGCGGTGGCCGCGCTTCTCCACGACTTGGGCTGGGATCGGAACGATGGCTCGCCCGTAGTCAGCGTCGACCGTCGGTTTGAGGTTGATGGCGCGATCGCTGCTCGGGACTTTATCAGAGACCACCGGGACGGTAAACAATGGGAAGAGCGGCGAGTGCAGCTGGTCTGGGACGCTATTGCGTTGCATACCCAGCAGAGCATCGCCCTATTCAAGGAACTGGATGTCCAGGTAGTGCATAAGGGCATTATCACGGATTTCGATGGCCCTCAACTGGGTATAACGGAGGAAGAATACGCTGCCGTGGTCAAGGAGTTTCCAAGGGACGACTTGCGGTATGGTCTAAACGAGACCATTGTCTGGCTTTGTAATACCAAGCCTGCTTCTACTTATGGTGAGTAACTTTTCTGCTTGTCGTTCCGGGATAGAATGGACGCTGACCTGATTCCGACAGACACCTGGATGCAACCGTGGGGAGAGGCGTATGTCTCTGACTACTAGGTATTCAGCGGTGGGGAGTCGTCTATTCGATAGGCCGATCTATTGATCAAGATTTTGCGTCTACGGCTCAGGGAACAGGGAGTTCCGGAAACCAGACGCTTGCCAAGCTGGCTCGTTGTAATAACTCGGTCGCCGAAACTGTTAAGGTAGCTGGGCCTGCCAACCTTGGTTGGGTTAAATGGAAGAACCAGGGACAATCAACTTGCTCAAGGTAGGTAGCTAAATTTCACGAGATGAGAACATGAAATGGTCCGAGGAGTTTGGAACCCCTTCTGAGTCTCGGCAGTTTCGGGGCTCATTGAGTGGATGTGCCATGGTGGGTTTCAGTCTGCGCTTGGGTGCGTATGAAACATTCTGGAATACGATGAGAGTGGTAGTCGCCCGTGGCGAGCCATCATGGAGTACCTCCCATGCCCTGAAAATTATACGAGAATACATCATCTTTTATCAACCCCCCCTTAGACGTTCACGGCCACCCCTAGGACCAATGGGGCAATACCCTGAAAGAAGTGAGCCCTGAGCCTTGAATTGGAGTTGATGCTCGTGCTGGGGCTCGGTGAGCTCGATGTTGTGCTCGCGGCCGCTGGCCCAGGGGTGGTGGCACTTGTGGTAAGGGAGCCCACCGAAGTGACAGGTTTGCCGCCGGCCCCGGTGACTTCCTCACACATCCTTGCCGCTGCTGGTAGAACCTCGCCTGTAGAGAGAACCGAAAGGTTGGCTAACAATGACACTCGGACGACTGGATGCCGGGAAAAGAGGACTTACCGACCGAGACGTCGTTGCCGCATGCTTGGAGGACGCAGGCTACGCCACTGTCGTAGATGGCTCGGTAGTTGTCGGCGATGCAGAAGCATTCGAGATCCTCAGGCCCCTTGCAAGAGGTGACGGTGTCAATAGCCGTCGTCAAGCAGCCAACAGCACACTTGGGAATGTAGGTGCTGAGTGAGTCTGCCGCAGCGCAGACCACAGCGACGGCGCTGAGGAAGAGAGGAAAGCACTTCATCTTGGCGAGCGGTTGAGTTCGGCGTCCGGGGGGCTTCTCAATCTCGATATGGATGCTTTGTTCTGTCTAGTGTCTGTCGAGCCCACGACGAGTAACTGATGATGCTGCGAAACTGTTTCAGACCGAGAGACGCAATGCAACGCCAGGACCAATATTTGCTGCTGCAGAGGCAAGCCCTCCTGGTATATGTACACAGTATGCGTGCACGTCTGTCCTGCACACACCGACAGCCGAACCGGGTGAACCGAACTGCTCCCATCGGGCTTCCTCGACCCCGCCCCTGCCTTCCCTCCCCCTCTGCAGTATTGTGCGTGTTGGGAGCCTTGGGACAAGGATGGGCCGATCTCGCTTGTTCCTCACGGGGACAGGCTGGTCCCCGTCTATGCCGTCACATGGAAAGGATCTTTTAATGGCTCGAGAATGGGTCTGCGGGCGGGCCCAGCTCCTTGGCGGGATTGGGGTCCAGGGGAAGAGTTTTCCGGGCGCGTCCATATCAGATGGTCTGATGATCTGATAAGATCAATCTGCCCCACCGCACCCGACGCGGACGCGGGGGGTTGCCCTGAACGGGAATAGACCCATTCCGTCCTCCCCTTGTCGACCTTGGTCCCGTCTTCGCCTGGTCGAATCATGGAGCTCACTTGCCGAACGCCAGTCTCCGCCGTCCCCATCGTTGTTGCGCAACCGGCGGAGATAGGGTGTAAATGGGGGGGATACGGCGGCCGTTGGACTGTCACTGAGCGAGGAGAGCCGAGATCCCCCGGTAATTAATTATAGAAGTTGGTGCGACGGCGGCCTTGGATGGGCACTTGAGACCTGAACAATGTCACCTCGGCCTTTCCCCTCACCTTTCTCTCCCGTCCCTTCTTCTGCCATTGCGGCTGAAGAGAAGCTTGAGTGCGTGACCCAACATCGACATTAGCTATGCAACCGCCTCTATCACGGCCCGAGGGCGATGCCATTAGCCCCTCGGACGACTCCAAGAACCCTCAAGTCGATTCCCTGCCGGCGAGAGAGTCAGATCTCGAAAAGTCGGACAGCATTTCGAACAATGTACAGCCCGGCGTTCAAAACATCGAGGCCGCGGCCTCCGTTTGGACCAAGTGGCATCTGGTCGCGGCTTATGGGATGTGAGTGCTCGTGTCGTCCATTAATGTCTTGCGGTACGCCGGTGAAATCAGGATGTGATGCTGATCCTTGGCTACCTGCCTACCTACCTACGCAGAATATGGCTCATCTACTTCGTCACCCTCGCTGCAGGAGGTTGCGACACGCGCCTTCACGCCCTTCGTCACCAGTTCCTTCTCGATGCACTCCCTGACAGCTGCGACGGGTATTTTTGCGAGCATTATCGCCGGCCTGTCCAAGCTGCCCCTAGCTAAGGTCCTCGATATCTGGGGCCGGCCGCAGGGTATGACTCTTATGCTGGTTATCTGGGTAATCGGTTTCTGTATGATGGCAGCATGCCAGAACGTCGAGACATATGCGGCCGCACAGGTCTTTTCTATGGTCGGGTATGTGAGGTCTCAATCTCAACGGATATGGTGCCATTCTAACTAGAACAAAAACCTTTAGCGCCCAGGGGGTGAGCTATTGTTTGACCGTCTTCATTGCCGACACGTCGAGCCTCAAGAATCGAGGCCTGATGCTCTCCTTCGCGACATCGCCCTACATCGTCACAACATGGGCTGGTGGGCCCCTCTCCGAAGCTTTCATGGGGGGCGCTGGTTGGAGATGGGGGTTTGGTGTCTTTTCCATCATTACCCCTGTCGTGGTTGTGCCCCTTATCGCATTGTTCTTCTGGAACCAGCACCGGGCCGAGAAGATGGGCGTCATTTCGACCCAGAAACAGCGCATTAGCGTTGCCTCGGTCAAGAAGTTCGTCATCGAGTTTGACCTCTTCGGTATAGTCCTGCTCGCGGCTGGCATGGGCATGTTTCTCACGCCCCTGAGCATCTGGTCCTACCAGGAACAGCAGTGGCGGTCGCCGCTCATCATCTGTCTCATCGTCTTCGGCGTCCTGCTCATCGTCGCCTTTACGCTCTACGAATGCTTCCTCGCCCCCGTCAACTTTGTCCCGATGCGTTTGCTGGCCGACCGGAACGTGATCCTCTCGGGCATCGGGCTGGGCTTTGTCTTCTTTAACTCGGCCGTGTGGGGGGGCTACTTCAACTCTATGCTCATGGTAGTGTGGAACCGGACCATCACCGAGGCAACCTACATCTCCAACATCTACCGGGTGGGATCGTGTTTTTCGGCCCTGGTCATCGGGTTCCTCATCCGGTACACCAGACGCTTCAAATGGGCGGCGCTGTACTTTTCCCTGCCGCTCATGATCCTGGGCGTTGGTCTCATGATTGAGTTCCGTCATCCCGACTCCAACATCGGATACGTTATCATGACTCAGATCTTTGTGGCCTTTGCGGGCGGGCCCATTGTGATTTGCGTCGAGCTGGCCATGATGTCCACGGTCGGTCACCAGCAGATCGCCGCCATCCTGGCCATCCTGGACCTCTTCGGCAGCGTGGGTAATGCCGTCGGGTCCACAGTCTCGGCATCTATCTGGACGGGCACGTTCCCGGCGGCCTTGCGCCGGCACCTCCCTGAAGATGCGCCCATCGAAACCATCTACAGCAGTATCTACCCGCAGCTCGGGTACGCCGTTGGCAGTCCGATGCGGAGGGGTATCTCATTGGCATACGCCGATGCCCAGCGCTACATGCTCATCACGAGCGTGTGCCTTCTTGGTGGGGCGCTGGTGACAACCGTCTTCTGGAGGGATGTCAAACTCGAAGACAAGCAGGTCAAGGGCCTTGTTGCATAGGGGGGGTCGTGGAACCGGGCCACTGAGCAGGGCGGGGAGCGGCATGGGTTTTCCGGGTTCTGTATGATACTATTACTCTATTGATTGACCTGAATGGTCCCAGAATAAAAAAGGGGGTATCTGCTCGGAAACGGGCCCGCGGTGTGTTGAATGGACCCCTTCGACATGCGACATGCGACGCCAAAACGCCTCGCGACTTATCATACGTTGAAACATAATACGCGGAAATTATACATGGCACAAGGAAGTAGCCCTTGCTAGTCCTTTTTGGGCCCGCCAACGGTATGCTCACTCTGCGTGGGGTCTTCTCCGAGACTCTCTGTCGGCGGGCCGCGGTAGTTCTTGCGGCCCCAGACGGCGTACCACGCAAATGCAATGACAACGAAGCCGACAAACACGACGGGGGCGTAGTTGACACTGGCAGCGGTGACGGGGAGGTAAGCGGGCATGCAGAAAAGGGGGACGGCGAGGATCGACCAGGCTGGATCCCGTTAGCAGGAAGTACCAGTAGAAGGAAGAAAATAACGCAGAATGGAGTACGTACCAATGGCGATGGTGTTGCAAAACCAGCCGATCTTGCCGAGGGAGAATTTGGCCCCCTTTACGTGGGCGCGCCCCTCCAACATGGAGACGGCAATGGGGGCGGCATAGGACACGGTCAAGGAGATGACACCGACACCCGAAAAGGCATTGAACGCGGTATAGGAGCCAAAGTAGATGACGCCTAGCACGATCTGGATGGCCATGGAGAGCATCATGGCGTTGAGGGGCAGGTCTAGCTTGGGGTGCACCTGCTTCCACCACTTGGAGCCCGGGATGGCGCCGTCACGGGCAAAGGCCCAGGTGCAGCGCGAGGCGGCCGTGGTGCAAGCTACACCGCAGAGGATGGCGAGCACCATGAGGGGGATCAGCAGCGCAATAGCGGCGCCCGAGGAGCCCACGGCGGACTTGATGATGGTGGGTACGGGTTGGCCTGAGGGGAGCGCGACGAGCATGGCAAGGTCAGGTAGCACAAACATGAGGGGCACGAGGAACAGCAGGCCGCCGATGGTGTTGATGATGATGGTGATCACCATGGCTTTGGGCACCTGGGTGGCCGGGTGCTGGACCTCTTCGCACATGGAGATGACCATGCCGGTCGATGAGGTGGCGTAAGCAGCGTGGAGCAGGCCGACGCAGAAAGACCAGCCGGCGGGCCATCCAGAGGTGACCTCGAAGCCGCCGAGGGCGAAATCGGCGTGGCGCCTACCCTCTTTGGCAACGGCTAAGACGGTGATGAGGATGGCGAGGAGACCAGCGAAAGTCCAGAAAATGGCAAAGGTCTAGAAGGGTCTCTGTCAGCCGGGAATTCACTGCAGCAACGCCAACACAAAGACACGACTTCACAGGTGATGGGGGTGGGTGGGGGGCAAGGGGGTCGGGGCGGCTTACATCCAACAGATGCAGCCAGCGGTTGCCCAAAGCAGAGATGGCATTGCACAACAGAGTGATGGCCAGGAAGACCAGGAACACCTGGTAGGTCTCGCCCTCCCACACGCCCACGTCGGGCTCCTTCTCAAAGACATTGACGCAGGCGACGAAGAAGAGGGTGGTTCCGAACTGCACGGCCAGGGTGATGGTGATGTTGCCGACGACATAGGCCCAGCCGCAGATGTAGGCGGCAACCCTCCGGAAGTTGGCCGGGGCGAGCATGAAGGTCTGGTAGTAGACGCCGCCGGCGGTCGGGTAGACGGACGTGATCTCGCCCAAGGACGAGGCGGTGCAGAGGATGATGAGACTGACGAGCAGCCAACCCCAGACGACGACGACTGGCCCACCCCCCTGCAGAGGATAGTACAGTGTGGTGGCCAGGCCGTAGGGGATAGAGGCAAGCACGAACGACATGAAGGCGACGTGCCAGGTTGATCGTGTGCGCACCAGCTCGGCCTTGTAGCCCATGGCTGCGAGCATCGCATCGCCATCGTCCGACGACTCGTGCCCAGACGACCCGTGCGCCTCAATGGCGCTGGGCGGGGCGGGTTCGGCGTGGGCGCTCATGGCGGGATAACGGCGCGAAAAGTGGTGATGGAGGTCGTTGTGGCCCGTATGTGATATGTACTGTGTATTTCTTTTCCCTTTTTTTTTTGTTTGTTTCTTTTTTTCTCCTCTTCCGGGGCTGATGTATTTGAGGCAACGACCGTTCGGTTTTGTTCCAGTTTCCTTGAATGCAGAAATTCCCCCGAGGCAAAGGATGGTGCCCTGCTCCTCCACTCTTTTACCAATTACGTACTGATAACAGGTTCCTGCTGGCAGGGGTGAGGATCGGACTTGGGCGCTGCTTCGCTCGCTTCGTCCCTCATTGTTGCATTTCAGTGGGGTCGATTGGAGACTGGCTCAAGACTGGCCCGAACCCAGCCGTGTGGGAGCCCACACCCGATTGCCCGTCCAGAAGAGGGTGGTCGGGGAGGAGCGAGTGAGGGAACGGGCTCGAGACGGACGGGGTGGCATGTGATGAGGGTGTGAGGGTTGACGTTGGACTCGCGGACGAAAGGGTCCAAACGCACTTTGAAGATTGCATCGCGATTTGCGAAGGACGGACTCGAGTCGAAACAGTCAGTCCGTTCGAGATCCCAAACTTCAATCAGTAGCATCGCTTCCACTCGCGGGTTTCGTCTCCGAAGTACCAACTCGTGTAAAAATAACACAGCACGTGCTGTTTCTCCATCTTGCGCTCCTGATCGCCTGCCTGCGATCCTGCGCTTCTGCGTCATCGGTGCACGGCCATTTTCGGTTTCAACGTCCGGTGCCAGGATTCAAGCGGCCAAGGACGCCAACGCGCTGACTTGCATTTGAGTGTGGGGGTGATGAAATGAACAAAATCAATTTTGTCGTGCCGCAACCCGTGTTTGGTTGTCCACTCTGACCCCTGTCTTCCCGTGCTGCTTGGCAAGACCAACTCGCGCCAGGCGCGCAGGCGAGGCACGCGTGTGTGGATCAAGCCAGGAAATCCCAGAAAGAACGGCCGAGAGAAAAAAAGATAACAACCACACAACATGCAATTTCTTGTTTTTTTTTTTTTTTTTTTTTTTTTTTTTTTAGTATGCCCATGTCTTGGCATGTCCGCCTTCTCTCTGTGCGAGGCCGTTGACCCAGCTAGGCTTCTTGAGTTCCCTCTTAACCAAGCCACTAATTAGTGGTGTCCTGGACATGTGGCCGTTTGACGACAATCAATTCTGACAACGTTGCGCACTTCGGAAATCATATGCTCTGGGTGGCTGCATATCCTCTTTGGTCTCATGGTGTCTGGCAACCCGTGGGCGACAGTATATCGCCTCGAGTATAATTACTTCATGATGAGTGATAGGCGAGTTGAGCCTTTCCTCGTAGGCCTCAACGGACCGGGGGTGAGCCATGTGTGACCATCGGGCTTTCGGGACGTGGCACGATGACGGTGAATGGTGAACAAGGGGACATTGACGCCACGGGTTGGCTTAAGTTCTCACCGACGTAGAACCTCCCGCTTCTACGTACTACGCTGACACGAGGCTGACGGCCCATGGACTCACTCATTGGCAGATTAATTTCTTGAGCCGTTGCCCGGCATCGTGTTACCCCTGAAGCGGCAGCCCACTTGTTGGTGTGTTGTCTTGATTTGCCTAGAAGCAGGGAGGCCTACACTGTAGCAACATCCGTTTGACAAACGCCGACGCCGTAGAAGGGAGGCTGCCTGGGGCTCTGGCGACCAGACCGGCGACGAGAGCAGTATAAAGTGAAGGGAAGCGCGACACCAGGAAGACCTTGTCGTTGCTAGCCAGCTTGCGCCTAGAACTTACTCGCACATCTTGACTTATTCCAACCCCTTTTACCTTGCCATGTCTCGGACAAAACCCATTGTGATTGGACTCTATGGCGTCCCTGGAGCTGGAAAATCGACCCTGCTGCGGAATCTGAAGAGCAAGCTGGTCGATACACAGTTCTCCTTCTTTGACGGATCCGCCGTGATCGCCTCACTTGTCCCTGGAGGCCTCGATAACTTTCAGCGCGCCACTGAAGAGGAAAAGACACGATGGCGCCAGGTTGCTATCGAGGCAATCGGAAAGGAAAGTGCCGAAAGTGGGCGGACTGCCATTGTCGCCGGCCACTTTATGTTCTGGCCCGAAGGGGACGGGATCGGGCACACAGTGCACACGCAGAGCGACTTGGACACGTACACACACATCATCTACCTCAACACCCTTCCGGAGACGGTGGCAAGATGGCGCGAGCTGGACGACTCACGGGCACGGGAGCCCGCCTCCGTTCAGCACCTGCACACTTGGCAGGAGGCTGAAAAGATGGAGCTGCGCCGTCTCTGTCGCAACCACGGAATCCTGTTTACGTCGGTGGCCTACCCAACTGAGGACATTGATGCGGTTGCGGCGATGATGTTAGACTTCCGCCAGCACACCGAAGAGCACAACCTTGCCTGCGCCAAAGACCGCCTTGACAGTCTCCTTGATGCTCATCAACAGCAGCACGCCGAGCTGCAGACGGCACTGGTCCTGGATGCCGACAAGACTTTGGCGCCCGATGACACAGGGCTCCTGTTCTGGGAAGCCATCGCCGAATCTACTTCTCGCCTGGCTTTCTCGACCGCAGATGCTGGCTCTTTGAGTGCTTTGTTCGGCAGTCCGCTTGGATACACCTACACGGCCTTTCGCCAGGCAATGCTTCTTTACGAAGAGCATACTTCCCGAGACGAGTTCAACGCTATTTGCGAGACTATCGCATCGTCTGTGACGCTGCACCCGGAAATGCTGTCCCTCCTGAAGCATGCAGCGAAGCATCGTCATATTGTGGCAGTGGTGGTGACATGTGGATTGCGCCTCGTTTGGGAAATGGTGTTGGCCAAGGTGGGACTGTCCGAGGCCGTTCAGGTGGTCGGCGGCGGCCGCATTCCGGATGGCTTTGTCATGACGGCCGAGGTTAAAGGAGCGTTGGTTGCCCGGATGCGTGACGTCCATGGACTGTATACCTGGGCTGTTGGAGACAGCCCGCTGGATCTTCCGATGATGCATGAAGCCCACCAGGCTCTTGTTGTGGTGGGAGACGAGTGTTCACGGAGTAGATCAATGGATGAGCGCCTGCAGAACGCTATCGACGAGCGTGGTCTCCGAGCTTCCCAGGTGCTGTTGCCGCGCGATGCACCACCGCGGTTGGACACAACCAGGCTTCCGCAGGTGCGACTCACAGATGGGGAGCTCCTCGAAGCGCTGGTTCGCCACCGTGGCGCCAAGGACCGCATCCGTCACGCCACAGACCAGAAGGCGACGAAGCTTCTTATGACACCGACTCGAGACGTGAGAGTGTCTGGTCCCGGTCTGCGGAGGGTCCATAGGCGGGTCGGATGGTACCTGGCAACATCGTTTCTAGCCGATCTCGTTGGCTTAGAACAGTACGATATTCCGCACGTGCAAGGCCACGGTACGGAGGGGCATCGCGTCCGGCACGAGAATAAGACGACCATAGTCGCGTTGATGCGTGGCGGGGAGCCCATGGCCGAGGGAGTGAATGACGCGTTGCCCTGCGCCATGTTTGTTCACGCGAAGCAGCCGGACGAGCTGAGACCTCAGCACATCAAGGGGCAGCGAACAGTCGTGCTGGTGGACTCGGTGGTGAATAGCGGGAAGTCGATAGTGGAATTCGTGCAGCGGATCCGCAGCCTCGACGCGACCATCGCCATTGTGGCGATTGCTGGCGTCGTCCAGTCACAGTCGATCGCGCCTGAGGGGCTACTGGGCCGAATCCTCGAGACGGACAGGGCCCTGAGCATGGTTGCATTGCGCCTTTCGGAGAATCGGTTCCAGGGCCGAGGAGGCACTGATACTGGCAATCGGTTATTCAACACGACTCATCTCGATTAGTGAGGCTGTGATTGGCATAGCGAAAGAGATGACTAGGGTCTGGCGGGGGTCGGTGGCATCTCTTAGTTTGGATAGTAGTGCCGGGTGCCGCACTCGCCTGTTGACCTGGGTGTTCGTTTGTTAGGGGGGACGCCCAGGTGGCGAGATTGGGATAGGGATAGGTTGATAGTCTCATCAATTGCTTGATTACACATATCCAAAGGACCCTGCCCCCAGCCAGATCACCTCCCCGGCAGCACGCTCCTTTCGGTAGGTACCTTTCATTTCCGGGGGGGGGGGGGGGGGTGGAGGAAAGTACCGTCCCCGGGACCTGCGCTATAAGAATATGGGCTGACCCGTCGGGCCGTGGCTCGTAAATATGCGGTACTATTAAGTGAGTTGGACCGCGTACCTAATTAAAATCAAGATAGGTAGGTTGACACCTACTCTTGGGTACTGAGATGGTGGTATTTGCCCGCACAAATTCCATAGCCGCGATTTCGTTTGCTGGGGCATCTAGGTAGCTAAGGACTTTGCCGAACGGCAACCCAACGAACCTAATCTACAAGCGGTGTTTGTTCACAATCAATGAATGTGGGCTCAATTCGGGGGACTTGTGGGTGGTGGGCGGTGACCTTATCGGACGAAAGCCTGTCGACAGAAAGTCAGGCAATCAACAAGCGGGCATCCGGTTTACAGCCGGCATTTCCATTGGTTATCCGGCAGGTTTGTTGATTCCATTAACCATATGATCCTTGATGAAACCATGGTCAGGCGTCATTATCTGACTGGAAGTTTCCAATCCCCACGGCAAACGGAACACAACTGAAGTGTCCACGACCACAACAGCCGCCACACTTGTTCTGCGCACCAAAACTTGATTCCCAAGAAGACACAGAACAACATCAGACCCCTCATGAATCCTCGCATATAAATTCCCTCCATTACTCCCACAACAAACCAAAAAAAGGCTCAGAACCAGACTAGACCACACTTCCTCAGATCGTCAGTCTTTGCTCCTACTCATCATCGTACTGATCCCACCTTCATCTCCAAACAACCGCCAACTGACCTACAATGGCCCGCAAAAGCGCCAAGAAGACCAATCGCCGCAAGGCCGCCGGGGCCCACGGTGCCACAGCCACCACGAGCAGCCGCGCTGGGTGCCGACGTGGTCCGACCCCAGCGAGCACGGTGTTTGCACGGAGATGGCCAAGATCGTCGCCGCGGCCGACAAGTACGGCGTCCTGCCCCTCCTCCGGCCCTTCGTCTCCGACTGGCTCGTCCACGCCCTCCCGCCCTCTCGCATCGGCGGCCAGGACGCCATCGATCCCGAGATCGCGGAGCGGCTCAACCTGGCTTGGCAGCTGGGAGCCGTGGGGCGCGTGGAGGATTACACCCGGAAGCTCGTCTACGACTCGAACATATCAGCGGCGATAGTGGAGGAGTTGCTCGCCGAGGCGCGGAAGTGCCCGGTCGATAGGTTCCCGGCGCTTCCAGGACTGTTTGGCGTGGCGGCAAAGCGCCGGGAGGCGGGCATCCAGGCCGCCCTGGACTTTTTCGGTCAGATGATAAACGACCTTAACAACGACGACCCCTGCCGGCAGCCTATATTTGACCCCTCGTCCATTCCCGGGTATACTCCTGTGGCGGCCGCCGCCATTGAGGAGCTGATCGGATCCGTTTCCGATCGTGACTCGGTGTATCGCCCACTATGCGGAATCACGATAAACATGTATATCTCGGAGCGTATCAAGGAGGTCGGCGCCGAAAACATACCACCGCAGGTCAAGGATTTCCCTTCGTCCGTTAGCGATTTGCTATACACGATTCGCTGTATCCACGGCTTGCAGCCTGGGCGCGTTCCCGCGCCGAGAGTCCTCCATCCGGCGTGCCTCCAGGTCCTCCAGAAGAAGTTCGAGGACTTTGCAGCAGAGCTTCTCAGCCGCTGGTCAGAGCCGGAATCCATCCTGGAGTTGGAACAGGTTGAGTGGCTCAAGAGGCGCAGCGATATTCTGGCGACGGGTAGTTCCTCTGCTTGAGTGGGACTTCAATTGTGATGACAGAGAGGAAAGCGTTGGGGCGCAAGTGAATAAACAATGCCCAACTGGAACTGGATGATAACCACCTACCTACCCATGAGAAACAGAGAAGATACCTGCCTACCGAATTCACATTCTTGTACAATGACCACTCATCCAGCGCTTGTCTAGGAAGTAGCATAATGTATTTTGTGGCCTTTGCGTGATACTAATGATGGAAAACACGTTACGGCTGCCCTCCACAACAAGGCCAAGCGCCATCCACTTACACTACTACCTACCGACGACTGTGCTTGGGCTAGGCTGGTTGGGTGAGAAAGTCTGCTACTACTTTATATGATAAAGGGGGAAAGTTGGAAATAGAAGGAAAAACGAAAGGGAGGCTCTAGCATCCCCCCCGCCAAGCGCGTCGGCCGGTGCCACCAGCCACGGCCTTGGGATATCATCCTGAGTTACATAAGGTCCTTCTCTACTTCGTACCTTCGTATGAAGGACTACTATACACGCCTGTGTCCTCAAATGGCTTCGCCCCTAGGGATCGCCAAGCCCCGGCGCACATCAAAGCGGGATCGGTTTCCCGGTGGGAAAATAACAACTCGGACTTCCCGTCCCCAAAGTGAGTGATAGAATGACCCTGTTCATCACCACGGTCAGTATTGGGGGATCAAGACGTTTACCGGAAGGTCGCGCTCACCATTCCAAGGGTCAACTTGATGACTTGCTCGGCCCACCCCGGTTCATACGTATAACTCGGCTTCTTCCCCCTGGCGGCTAGGACGATGTTGTCTGCTGCGATCTCGGCTTGTTGTCCTGCAATTCTCGAGTTCATGTTGGCGACCTTGGTATCGGCAACGTCGCCGCATACGAAAATGTTGGGAAGCGAGTCATCGTCGATCTGTAGTGTCGGTTTCACTCGGATGTGGCCAGACGAGGTGATGGTCTTGGGCGCGAGGTCCTCGATTAACCCTGATGCCGGCTTTTGACCCGTGCAGTTGATCTGTCCGTTGCTGTGTCAGCCAACGCGACCTTCCTTCCTGTGGGGGCAAACCTCATAAGGGGTACTTACGAAGCAGTCGCACTCGATCTCGCGCCCGGAGGCGAGTGTGATGAACTTGCCGTCGACGCTTTGTGGATCGACTCTCTCGCCGAGGATAACATCGACGCCCAGTTTCTGCAGGCCGTCCAAAGCACCCTTTTGAAGCCCTGGTCCGAAACGATGCATCACCGCCTGTCGCGAGTGCACGAGAGTGACTGATTTATCCGGATATTGATTTTTGGCATCGGTGGCCAGCTCGACGCCGGCGGCACCCCCCCCTGCGACAACGATTCGGGTTGCTGCCTTGATGCGAGCTTGCATCGCCTTGAGAATCTCTATGCCGTCTTCCCGGTTCTCCGCGCCAATCCGGGACGGTAACCCGTGCGGGACTGTTGACCCCGTCGCAATAATGAGGAACTCGTAGGGAATCTCATCGCCGCTGCGCAGGACGACGCTGTGGCTCCGCACACTTGTCACCCGGTCTCGTACCCACTGAACCATGCCCTTTGGGCTCTTGGAAAAGAATGACGGGGAGTAGGGGATGAATGCCTTGTGCTCGTGGCCGCTGATCACCGAGAAGCGCGGCAGCACCCATGTGAAGTTGAAGTGACTGTTTGGTTCGATGACAATGAGTCGGTACCGGCCATCCCGTGGGAGCGACGAGGCGAGGATGTGGGAAGCGATGTAGCCGGCGAAGGCGGCGCCGACAACCACCACATTCTTTACTTCGGAGGGGTCGGCGGGCGGGATTGCCTTCGGTGCAGTGAGTGCAGCAAACTTGCCTGACAAGGCGCGACGCAAGACTCCGAAATAGATACGGAAACCGTAGGCGATTAACCGGGTGAAGAGGGCCACCTTCTTAATGCGTTCGAGTGCCATGCTTGGTGCTTTTTGACAGAGGAAATGGTGGGGAGATTTAATTGAGTGATGAGTCTGCCCAGCACTCCAGGACGCTGGTTAAAGCAAAAGCGAAACCAAAGTTGACCAAGCTCGACTTACGCAAGTGATCGCGCGTCGAGGCCACGGAGGCAGCCAAGCCAGTCAGTATCTCGCCGCTTAGTACACGAGTTTCGGTGACTGATACACCCCGCTGACTGATATTGTTGCCCTCCGCTGACTGATGCGCCCTCTTCACATGCATGACAACAGGGTTCAGGGTTCCACCTTTCCCGGCGCTAATACAGTTTCGGAATATCTGATGATCTGATAAATGATCCCGGCGAGTCCCGGAACAAGTCCTGGCGTGTGTGACTCCTCGTCGGGTTGAACACGCGCCAGTAACAGTTACATAGGTACCGAGACAAGAAAAGACACACACACAAGGTATCTATTTACCCCTGGGAGAATAAACCCATAAACCCCCACCCAAATCGTTTCATTATTTCTGACGCCACAAACCTTGCAAACCCAGTTTGGCCAACATTATTTTGAACAATTGCTTCCAGCTGAGAAGTGGGAAACCGGAGGTCGCTGCCGGGGTGCCGAGTTTGCCGAAGTCGGGGTACCCTTTCTCCCTCCACTCGCGAAAGGTCATGCCGCCCGCTCTTTTGGGCATCCGCACCATGAGGGGCACCACGACGTCCTTCTCGGTACCGAGCAGCTCCGCTTTGTGAACAATGGTCTCGTCTAGCCTTTCGTAACCGAACTTCTCATACATGTTAACCGAGGTCGGAGAGGCTTCAAAGTACATGGGCAGCCCGGTGCGGTTGCAAAGGTCAATTCCGAATGACACGATGGCAGCCCCGGCCTTCTTCCCTTGGTGCTCTGGCGCGACGCCGATGACATGAGTATCTGAAGGTGCTGTTAGCGAGTGTCTAGTACAGTCCGATGTGTTGGGCTTTGTGTGTCTTTTTTCCATTTGTTTCCGACACCAACTCACAGATATACGGTCGCCCGCCGAACAGCTTCTCGCGCACCTCCCACAGCGGGTTCAACACCTTCTCGGCCCGCTCCCGCTGCTCGCCCGCCAACCACGGAACGCCCCCGTTCTTGCGTTCCTCCTCCGTTCGGGGTTTGATGTACACGTCGATGAGACCCATACCCACAATCTCGGCCGTGTCCATGTCGACGCATTTGTACGTGTATTGCGTGTCGCTCTTGTGCCACCAATCCAGGGTGCCCGCCGCATGTGCGGCCCGGAACTCTTCGGAATCGACCCCGCCCGGGAATAGGATCCCCAACATAATATTGCCCATCTGCTCGTTGTCAAAGGAAGCAAAGTAGGCCTCGTAGATCTTCCGGATGTCCGGGATCAGCGCGGGGAGCACGGCGTGGACCATGTTGACTGGACTGGACCGGAGCGGTTGATGGCGGAAGGGACAGATGGATCGAGGGGATCGTGGGAGTGCGGTAATGAGAACCGTGAACTTGGAGAGAGCTTGGGACCTTCGAATTGTTTTGAGACTTTTTGGAAAACGACATGGCCGATCACAGGGTGGTTGGTTGGTTCGGGTACTGCTCCTAGAAAGGAATGCAGCCCATCGTTCACCCAGCTCCTACCAGTCAGGCGGATCCTACATCAAACCCAATGCGTCGACCCATCTGCAACAAGCTTACCATTGACCACAAACCCGGGCCCAGCTAAGATGAGGAGTGGACCGGTTCCTCGCAGCATCATCGGGTAACCCTGTCCCGTAGCCCATCGCACATTTTACACAGTAATTCTCGCTCGTATCCGTCTCTGTCTCTACATCTTCGTCGTAAATGGCGCAGAATTTAGCACCCACCCACCTAGGTACCGCGGTACTTCTGTTTCCCCGGTCCAAAACCGCCGCCGACCGGCTAGAATCAGACTATCGAATCTACATTATCACGCAGGCCTGAGATGAATGGGAGACAGCCCGGCTATCGGGTGTTATCTTTACCTAAGCCTGCACATGAATTCACTGGCCAAGCCGGAAGAAGTGAAATTTGTCATACCTATGTGGTCAAGACTGGTGGGGGCCTCGGCATGCTGAAGTTGCTCTCGTTTCGCTTCGATGCTCCGTTTATAGTTATCAGATCCGGCATCCCCTGTTTACCCCACTTCTACCCCCGCCCACAGGACCAGGGCTCGATCAGATAAGATGTGCGCGAATTCTATTTCGGGACTGCCATGTGGCCTGGGCCTTCTTCGAAAGGAACTTTGGCCGAGCCGGTCGTTCCCGAGCCGATGTCGGATCTGAGGGTTCAGGCCATGGTCTTGCTCCACCGGCCTCGTTTCCACCTTGCCCTTCTTTGCATCTCGTTTAGTGGTAGCGTGAGCTGGGACCTGAATAGCGGAACTTGTAAAAAATGAACTCGGCGGAAAGGTTTGATGGTGGCCCACAGAGGCCATCATGGGGCAGACTGTGACCCCCCTTCCCGTTTCTCGTGTGTTTGAACCGCCTGATATGTTCTAAATGTTCTGGAATGAGTGTCACGCTCACGATGAAGCACCTCACCCGGTGAAGCTGGACCATCTCTCGTCATTTTGCCCACTAGATGGAACGGGATTGGCACCGCGTTTAATGCTTTTCCCCACGTCAAACCGAACTAGAACTAGGTGTGTGAATTTCAAGAGTCTCTTCTCCTGTAAGCGCACGGGCACTTTGCTCCTACCTCCTAAGTCCTAGGCAGCTTCTCTTAAGGGTCTTTACAAACATAGGAGACCGTGCACTAGTCTCCGAAGATAACTCAGCGAGAGCCATGCTAACAACGTCAGGCCAACACTAACAATGTTTACGGAATAAGAGGGAGAGGGGCTCATATTAGGTGCTTGGGGAATCTTTAAGGAAGTTAGAGCGCTATTTGTGAAAGAAGCTATGGCCCACATTTCGTGTCAACTGTAGCGAAGAATGGTAAGGTAGAGGAAGAATGCGGTGAGCGATGCGGTTTCTAGCGGGCAAGGCAGGAGGGGTGGGGGCGTATGGGAACAGCAACAATTCATGTGGTCAGCTGGCAGCCTGAAGAGCTGACCGTGACTACATCTCCAAGACCTTGGGTGATAACATAAATTACCATAATACCTAGGTTCCAAAGGCCTACGCGGTAGTATTGGCTAATATATACCATATTCATAAGGACGCATGCCGAAGCATTTCATTGTCCTGGGCCCTTCTGGAACGACATACCCCCCCCCCCCCCCCCGGGCCGGTCTTGCTCCCTCTCTTGCCGCTCACAATACCGTACCAGGGACCAGGACTCCCAGGGCGATGAGCAACTGACCGGAATAATAGAGGACCCAGACGGCATGTTGCATCCAGGCGCGGTGCGTCGAGGGACTGGGAACCAAAAACCGATCTGCTGCAAGGATGGCATCTGAGGTTGAAAACATGAGGCTGCCGGAAATGACCTGGCCGCTGTTTGACGTGAGAGCGGTAAGGACCATGACAAAAATGGTAAACGAGTATAGAACCACTGGAAGTCGGAGTGCTGTATCGAGCCGCGGCATCAACAAAGCGATCATGACGGGGACCAACAAGGACAAAAGTCCCGCAGCCACGGCTCGCCAGCTTCCAAGCAAGCTCTGGAACAATACGGATCGGTCGGTGTCCCTCCCGAAGAACAGAACAATATAGAAGATGTGGGCAACCAAAAAGTTGGCAAGCCCATAGAGGAAAGAAGTGTCGTCGTCCCACGCAAGAAAGGCGTCGCCTACTGATCCTAGCGCCAGCGCTCCAGCCAAGAGAAGCGGCCCACCTTGGATGAATACCAGGGCAGAGAGCAGCGCTGTCGAGGCCGTTTTGACTATCATGCGTAGGCCGCTCGGCGGGGAGCGGACCATGGTGAGGTAGACGATGCTCGCGCCGATGGAGCAAGCCAACACGGTCGAGTCGGCCGTAAATGGTACCCGTAAAGAAGACATAGTCCGACGATTATGTGGTGTAAAAGTGAAAGTGGACGACTAGGTACCTAGGTAGGCTTGTACACCGAGGAAGACGAGGTGGGAGGCAGGAGGAGAAGAACAAGTTGGGAAGTGAGGAGCGGAGGTAATTTAGGATACACTACAGGTACCGAGGAACAAACCTTGCGGATCGTCTTGGCACTGCATGTGATAATCAAGGGAGAGATGGGATTAACATGTCAAAGCTCGTACTAGGGAACAAAGCCCGAAAAGCTTCGTATTTTTTCAGCTATTTCCTTCTCTAGCCAAATACAGACCTGCTCTATCAGTTCACTCCGTCTCGGTTCTGGTCTTATCCTTCCGGCCATTAGACCTACACTCTCCCCGAACGACCCAGTCTACTACGCATCTTGGATGTCGAATTTGACAAGTAATGAGCACCCAGTTTCGTGACCTTTGAGATCCAACATCCGCACAAACGTCCAGCCAGCTTCGGGATCAAGGTATAACAGGCGAACCGCGGCGACGCCTAGAATGGGGTTGCTTGAGAAGGTCGCATCGCTCTTGATGAGCATCCTGACGAATACCAACTCGTTGTCATCGAATTCCCATTCGAGGGTCTCGTCCCATACTGGGTCCGTTGCCACGGGATTTTCACCGGTACCGCCGACGGAACCGAGGAATGAGCGAGTCAAGGCGTTTCGCTTGTGATATATCCCCGTTTTCCGCTTGACTTTGATTAGCTCAGCCCCGGTCCCCGGTTGGAGGAGTGTGCACGTCAAGTACGGCTTCAGGTCGTCAACTTCACGATCAGCAGGGAGCGGAACATCAGTGGCACCGGCAACGTGGAGCCGTATCGTCTTCCGGCGGCTGTGGGACGAGAGCACACCACTACCACCGTGGCGAAGAGCGGGGGGTTTCAGTACGTATCCAGCGGTGCCAGCAAAGAGGGCGTCGTTTATCTGCATGCTCGCGCCGAATGTTTGCCAGTTGAGAGCGCAAATCTGGGCGCCGACGGCCCAGAACGGCACCGGGGAAAGATTACGGGATGATATCCGGGTTCCTTTAGGGTACACACGCATGAGATGACGGGCATTGTGGCGCGCGATCTCCGGCGCGTGATCCCCAGTATGCTTGGCCAGCCCCGACTCGGAAACGTTGATCAAATGATGCTCAGGAGGGCCATCCTTGACTTTGCCCTCGATGTACCAGGAAGTATCGCGTGGCTTGACGGATTGCGCATAGACACCGAGCTCGGCCAGTTCAGGGATGATGATAGGCGGTGGCGCAGCGTTTTTCTTTGTTTTATACTCCTGACGCGCTTGCTTCTCCTCCTCAGAGTCGCTGGAGCTGGATGAGGAGGCGCTGGAGTCGTCCACCTCATCTGGCAGATGGAACTCAACAATGACGGCAATCTTGGAACCCAGATCTTCGAGCCGGACGGGATCGCCGCCTTCTTGTTCTTCATGGCCTTTTTGGCGAACCGGGGCGCTGAGCAACCGGTCGCCCCAAACCTCCTTCATAATATCAACGAGGCGGAGCTGTCCGCTCTGGTCACAGTGATTCTCCAGTGATACCAGGATTGGCGCCGGGGCATACCCCCGGGCTCGCGAGACCGTTTCTTCGTGGTCGACGACATCGCGTACCGTCTCACACACTACTCGAAAGGGAATGTTTGAGACGAGCGTGTAGCCATGCGTCACCTTTGGTTCCATGCCGTCATCGGAGTTGTCCCTGAGAAAATAGTTAATAAAATCTTTGTCTATTCCCGCAACTTGTTACTGGTTTGTCGAACGCGTTGCTGAGGGTGGCTGGGGGAGGGGTAAGACTGGAGTGCAGAAGCAGTCGAGATATAGGTACTCACCACGCGTCAATCTCGATGCACCGCGCCCCAGCCTTGAGCGTCGTTTCATATGCGGCGGCTGACGATGCGCCGAAAAGCTGATGGGACATCAAATACGTGTTGTGACTGGAGCTGATAAAATACTCGGGCAGGGGATGCGATCTGTCCACGAGGTGGGCTGGCGGCGTAACGAGCGGTTTGTCGAGAAGGGTTTTCAACAACGGCCCTTTGGCGTCGTCGGCATCGTCGTTACCCAATACGCCCTCGTGGAAGAGGAAGGATTGAAGGGCAGTGCTGACACGTAGAGGATGATGAGCGATGCCGGTTGATGCGCTGAGACCGCCGCCGGCGAAGGTGGCGGCATCAATTTCCTCCCCTGCGTCGTCCTCATCATTTTCCCGCCTCCCTCTGGATTTGAAGGGGTTTAGTTTGGACATGCGCGACGACAGCCGCGAGGGGTTTGACTCAGACATGGTGAGAAGTCTTCCACTACTTTCGGAGGGGAACCTCGTTATGATGTCCTTTGAGTACCTAGGTAGCGATTGCGATAATGAGAGAGAAGTCGATCTTGGAATCCTGCGTGATTTATTGAGGGGTAAGTCATCCTTAGCGGGGTAACTCCCTACCTGGCTAAGACAAGACAAGACGCATGCCTTCCATGGTGCCAACCCCTTTCGGTGGAGTCGGGGAGGAGTTTCCCTTTCCCGCTCACGCCGAGAAGGGGGAAGCTGAAGCAGTGAAAAAGGCAAAAGAAAAGGGAGCGAAAATAATAATAATGAACATAATTAAACAGGATTTCCAGGGTTTCAAGGAAGTACTTGGTGTGCAACAACCGTTTGCTTCGGCTGGTGGCAAGACAAGTTGAATGAATGGGCTTGGAACGCAGTAATATACCACTTTCCAGCTCAGCTACCGCACAAAATAGCAATTTAGTCTCAGTTTTATTAACGGCGTAGCCAAACAATGTGGCATGTATGTGAGCGTCTTCAGTTGCAATGAATACCTAATTAACATCAAAAAGAGATAGGTTCCAGGTTGTCAATACATCATCGAACGCATCGAGTTCCCGCACCACAAACATCCCCTGTCTTTCTCTTTGACACATTAATCACCAGACCCAACGATCATGTCTGCTGAACTAATCCTTGCCATTGTCGGGGTTGCAGACGGTTGCATTAAGTGAGTTGGCGCGTTTGGCCCGCGCCAGTTACCCAGTCTTGAGGACTCACGCGTACGACGTCCAGGCTCGCGAATAAGGCCTTGTCGATATGTAGAGCGTATAAACATGCCGAAGAAGATATGGCAAAGAAGGTGACCGTCTTGGAGACCGTGTGGGTGAAATTGGAAACCCAGCTGAGGTTCCTGCGCTGAGTGGCGGGCCGGGGGCACTTGATGGACGAATTGGCCCAATGCCACTTCACGCTGCTTCAGAATTCAACGGCGCGCTGCTGCAAGCAATCTCGCAGCTGGAAATGGCGGCTTCTTCCCTCGGATCGGTACCCGAGACCCCGAGGTTTTTAAAGGTTGGAAAATGGAAATACGCGATCATGAAGAAGACTCTCGACATATTGATGGCTGAGTTGGAAGCATGCAGTGGCAGGGGCGGTTTGATCCTTCTTGGTATCTCATCATCCTCATCAGTCGCAGCGTGTTGGACCCGGTGATTGTCGAGTCCTCCGAGACCCGGGCGTTAAAGTCGAATGCGGCGGCCGGGCCTTTGGACAGCATGCGTGTGCTTCGCAGGGCCATAGACGCAGAGAGCGGCACCACTGTGGCGAATTCGGCCAGGCTCGAGTTGGATGCTGGTCGATTCACCAACATCCACGAGACACAGATCATGCGCTACACCAGCGCAAAGGTCATGGTACAAGCGGGATCGGGCGATCGCCTGGTTACAGAACCTGTCGACCTCTCCACAGTCATCAGCCCACAAAGCATCACATTGAAGAGCTTGCTGGACGACTGCGGCACATTGACCCCCATACGTTTTGTATACCGATGCGAGGGCATTCTGAGGAAGATGGATCCTCAGAGCGGGCGTCTCACGGCGCTCGAGGTTGTGTACTGCGCCCCGTCCACCCGATAAATACAAGGACGTCCTAGGCGGATAAACGCAACGAAGCAACGGAAATACGAAATTCCAGACCCTATATCTCTCTGATTAGAGAGAGCCCAACACCCTAGTTTAGTATATAAACTATTAAATAGTTCCTTATATAACTAACCTTATTATAGCTATATTGGGCTACTATAAGAACTACCTTTCGATACTTTCTAAGCATAGAGGTAGTATATCTAGTGTCACGGCCACTGAGCTGGAAGCACAGGAGTGGGGCGCGGGGCGCCCCGGACCAATCATTAACATGACCAAGGAGCAGTGTGCTCAGTGCGCTCAGCGACTGAGCAGGGGGAGCAGTGTGCTCAGTGTGCTCAGCGACTGAGCAGGGTGAGCAGTGTGCTCAGTGTGCTCAGCAACTGAGCAGACTAAGCACCCAGAAATTAGATAGTATATAGTCACTCGTTCTGGAGAGCTCTGGGAGTTCTCCAGTTAGCAATCACAACTACAGTTCGCTACAAGCTCGAGAGCCTACTGTTGAGACAAGTCTTTGTTGTGCACCCTTTGGCTGCACCGAACCTAAGCACCCTTGAGAGAATACCTTCGACCGATACTGAACCCTAACAGGACGGGTCCAGAGACAGGTTCGTCACACGTTGCTAACTCCCTTTGATCTGTTACAGTTCAGGCTCGAAGGTAAAACGACATGGCAACTCAACCGACGCCGGGCCAGATCACGGCCGCACTTCAGAGAGTCACCGAACGACTCGATGAAACTGAAGAAGAGCTTGCGAAGACCAAGGCCAGCAACGCGGCATTGGCAGCCCGACTTGCGGCGACCGAGGTCCACACCAAGGACCCGGCCAAGACAAAGGTCAAATTGGAGCAACCCGAGAAGTACGGGGGCGACCAGGAAGCCTTGCCAGGTTGGATCACGGAGATGCGGAACTATCTCGACCACAACTCGCACCAGTTCGCCACTGAGGAATCCAAGACCAGATACGCCGCCACCCGACTCAAGGACAAGGCCCTCAAGTGGTTCACGGGAACACTGAGTGATTTCCTCGGCGGAGCAATCCACAAACCCTTCACCAAAAAGGTCTTCGAGAACTACTCCGAGTTCGAGAGTGAGATTCAGAAGGTGTTCGGCGACAAGGACGAGAAGTTGCACGCCCAGGAACGGCTAGGACGGCTGAAGCAGACTAGGTCAGCCACCGCCTACGCCACGATTTTCCGACAAGACTCCATGAAGGCAGAGATAGACGACGAGGGGCTGATGCACCTGTTCTACGGAGGACTGAAGGAGGAGGTCAAGGACGAGCTCTACAAGGAGAGCCGACCTGACACGCTCGACGAGTACATCGCCATGGCTGTCAAGATTGACGACCGACAGTTCGCCCGCAAACAACAGAAGAAGGGCAGCGAGACTCAGCGATCCGCAGGCTACCACAAACCCAACGACAAAAAGAAACGCCAGCACCAGAGCACGTCGTACGGCACTCACTCGGGACCCATGGACGTCAGCGCTGCCCAGGCACAATGGGCAGGAAAGAGAGATGGTGCCAAGGACAAATCAGGCATCACTTGCTACAATTGCGGCAAGAAGGGTCACTTCAAACGCGACTGCCGCAGCAAGAAAGAGTGGAGACCGGTTCCAGGGAAGGAAGCTGCCACCATCGACCAAAACACGGTCGGAAGAAGAACCCGGTTTCTGGAGGTCGCAGCCGCCAGCTACACGCAGGACGACCTCGAAATCGACATTGACCGAGTCATCGAGCAGGACGATGAACTCACCGACTCGGATCAAGAAGACTTGATGAGCAGCAACCACCAGGAGGGAAATGACACCGCCCATCACGCTTTCATCGAAACGGATGACGAGGGAGAACTGGCTCCCCCGCGGTACATCCGACAAGTCGCTGAGGACTGGGGCATCACCCTGGTTCAGCAAGAGGACGGGCAATGGCGAACCCACGAGGGTGAAGGAGGAGTCAGCCCGAACCTCATCTTCCTACAACAGAGGGTCCTAAGCCAACGGCAAAGGATCGAGGAGTTGTCAAGAGAGAAAGAAGGGCTCGAACGACTACTCCAGGAAAGGAACGACCAGTATGGACAACTTTGCGCGGAGCTCGAATTTGCGAAGGAACGAGTCCAAGAGATCACCGAGGCCAACAACAGGGCCGGGGATCACGTCGAAAAGACATTAAGGGAAGCACAGGCCTTGCAGGACGACATCCGCCAGGTACTTCCGCACCACACACCGTGGGATGGACCCACCGAAGAGGCGGAAGGATACGAAAACGGAGTACGATACCCCGAGCAACTTTTCGACTACGCACAGGAACAGAATGCGGCGAAAGGAAGAAAACAGCAGAGCTGGGAAGAATACTGGACGCGACATCAGCACATCGTGCGCGCCGGGCGACAAACCTCCGACCTCGAATGGTGGGGTTCCCGGGGCGAGAACAACACGGAGGGATTCCAGTTGTTATCAGAAGACCACGAGCGGGTGGACCCACGAAAAGAGAACCACATCTACCTGCCCTGGTTTCAGTGTATCGCGCACGAATGTCGGTACCATTTCCAGGACAAATTTCGCAACAGTTTCTGGCCCACGAGGGAAGAAAAGGGGATGCAACCCCTACCCATCAGATGGGTATACGACAGCGGCGACGCTCCCGCAAGCATGTTGTGGGACACACAACGCACTCACGAGGGCAGGCTGAGGGTTAAACCCAAGGCAGCCTGGCCCCGACGCTGTCTAACGGGCGTAGGAGTCAACGAATGCCGAAGCGCAGACTGCCTATCACACGCCGACGAGAAAATCTGGGGATATATGGAACAGCAATCCCAGAGGAAGCCACACCAGAGGACAAGAGCGTCCCGAAGGAACGAGAGGCGCCCAACCGAGGCGTGGGTGGCCCAATGGCTCCAAGAACACCAGACGATTGATGCCGCAAGCCAAGGTGCGGACAGGGACGCCTTGAAACACCACGAGAGCTTGGGAAACGGCTCAGGGCCCTCCGAGGGGCCCGGAAATCTCTAACTCCACAACAGCGGAGACAGGCTGCGCAGTACAGGAAGAACTGGCGCAAACAGAAGCCTTACAACGACCTCCCAGCAGACGAACACGAAGTAGCTGCTGTACGAAGCACCAAGCCAGACAACAGGCTCTGGATCACAGCGCGATGGGGGAAGATCGAAGCCCTCGCGTTAGTGGATGGAGGAGCGCAGATGGACCTCATTGCGCCCACATTTGTGAATCAACTCAGAATCCCATGGAGGATCAAGAAGCAACCACACGTCGTCAAGGGACCATTCGACACACAATGGGTACGACGAGAGACAGAACCACTCGACATTGAGGTGGAAGGAAAAACCACCCAAGTGGTGTTCGACATCGTGAACATGGGGCCGAAGAAAGACATGATTCTCGGACGCCCATGGCATGAGGATTACGACCCAGACATCAGTTGGAAGGGAGATGGCCATCTGCGACCGCGGGAACAGCGGGAGCATCCGACCAACTCGATGGGAGAACGCGCAGAACAGGAGCCACGGGAGAGCAGCGGGTCCGAACGAACCCCCTCTACGGGCCCACCGCAGGAAGCAGCCAGTGCAGAACCACGCACTCTGAAATCCGGAAGAAGCGGCACACGACGAAAGAAGCAGGCACGGGAGGAACGAACCATCGCCGTCGTCTCAGTCGACGAGCACGGAATGCTCAAACACGAACAATGGGTCAATCAGCTCGAAGCGGCAAGCATCGAGCTGGCAGCAGAAGAAGTCAGGGAACTCGAAGCAGCGAGCATCGAGCCTGGGAACAACAAGTTCGCGTACTACGAGGGTACAGCGAAGAACGCAAAGACGGGGCAGATCCCAGACGACTACAAGGGGCACCCGGCGTTCACGGCAAAACATCTTGCAGGGCTACCAGACCACGGACCTTGGGATCACGAGATCAAACTCAAGGAAGGAGCCCAGTTGAAGTTTTTCAAGGTGTACCACACCAACGAGAAGCAAGATGCAGAGTTGAGGAGTTATCTCGAAAAGAATCTCGAGATAGGACACATCAGACCATCGACATCTCCAGCAGGCTACCCAGTCCTCTTCGTTCCAAAGAAGGATGGGAAGCTCAGGATGTGTGTGGACTACCGACAGTTGAACAACGAGACGGTGAAGAACCGCTACCCACTGCCACTGATCTCGAGACTCCGAGATCAACTGTCAGGGGCACAATACTTCACGCGCCTCGATCTTCCGACAGCGTACGCCCACATCCGCATCAAGGAAGGAGACGAATGGAAGACGGCTTTTCGGACACCCTACGGGCACTACGAGTACCTCGTCATGCCGTTTGGGTTGACCAACGCACCAGCGACATTTCAAGCCGCTATCGACCACGCAATACGACATTGCCTCGATAAATTTGCAGTCTGTTACTTGGATGACATTCTCATCTACTCCAAGACACTCGAAGAACACAAGAAGCATGTGCAGCAGGTGCTGGATGCACTGCATGAGCACAAGTTGTCAGTCAACAAGGACAAGAGCGAGTTTCATGTCAAAAAGACAGTGTTTCTGGGTTACGAAATCTCCCCAGGATGGGTCAAGATCGAACCCGAGAAACTGGAAGCTGTCAGGACGTGGCCGACACCAACAAACGCCACAGAGGTCAGAGGATTCATCGGATTCGCCAACTTTGTCCGGATGTTCATCAAGAACTTCGGCGACATCGCGAGACCTCTACACGAACTCACGAAGAAGGATGCCACATTCCAGTGGAAGCAGGAGCACGAGCAGGCTTTCCAGCGGATCCGCGATGCGATCATCGCCGACCCGGTGCTCATGCTGCCCGATCCAAGCACGCCTTTCGAAGTCGAGGCTGATGCTTCGGACTTCGCGATCGGAGGACAACTTGGTCAGAGGGACAAGGACGGCAAGCTGCATCCAGTTGCGTTCTTCTCCAAGAAACTCGAAGGACCAAGGCTCAACTACCCGATCCACGACAAGGAGCTTCTCGCAATCAT